AATGAACTACATTGTATATATTTGTACATTAATAGTAGGTGGATATGCACGATCTCAGTCAATATTACTTTTTGATAGGTACATGACATTTAAGTCTTATACATGACTTTATGCCGTCTTAACATGTCAATAGCTTTGCCTGAAGTATGTGTGAAAAGAAGCAAAATATTCACATTAAATATGAAGGACAAAAACCAAAATGCACATTGCAAACAGCATGGAAATTAGATAGCTAAACAAAAGTAAGTATGTCTCACCAGTTCCTGACCACATCCTGAAGCAGGTTCCTGGCTAATCTGGTTTTGCCGGTGTAAACCAGAACCAACCGGCTGTTCACTGCCTGAAGACCCTCGTCACTGACAGGAACATGTTCAACCTCCACCTTCACTGGAACCTCAGGTCTACAGCGACCAATTTTCACTGCAGGATCCAGACCTACACCATGAGAGCAAAGCTTTATTAAAGTTCAATTGAAATTTGCAATAGTCAATATAAGTAACGATTGGTAAGTTTTTCAACAAGCTAGCTTTGAGAACTCACCTCCAACTTGGTCCTGCCAGCCTCCCCCTGAAGTAAGAAGTTGTTCCACATACAGAACACCATGCATGAGGGAAAGATTGTCAGCCTCCCGACCTGAAAATAATAAAATGAAAAAAATCATGCATAGATTAACAGTTAAAAAACAGGTTTTGAATAAATGCTATGTGATCATGGCTGGATAAGTGAGAAGAGAGAGGGAGAGAAACAAATTCTATGAATGACTCTAACTTAATGTTACATCTTTTTCAATCATCTCTTTTCAGTCCATGATTCCAGCTTTTCATTCTGCAGTTTGACCTTGATTCTGACCTGTGACCTTGTACAGTACTGCCAGGATGGCCCCTGCCAGGATGCTGCTTGTTCCCAGCCCTGAACCGTGAGGGACATCTGACCAGGTGTGCAGCTCAAACCCACACCCGTGTCTGGTCTGTAGCTGTTCCCTGAGACTGGAGGGGGAGGGGAGGGTGACCAGGTCTGCACACACCACACAGGCCTTCAACAGGGCACCTGCAGGGAACAGCAGGATTGGAATAAGAACTATGGAAGGAGTATGTTTGAATCTCTATTTACTCAATCTGCCTATTTTTCATTGAGGTCACGAGATCAGGGTCAGACAAAATATAGCATACATACAGTTATACATGATTGGAGCCCTTCCATGTCATCTCCACTGTCAAAGTTTGAAGATATGAATGGGCTTTTATAAAAGCAGGCCTTGGAAGCAATCAGTAAAGATCAGGGTCTGAGAAATTTTTTAGCACCATAGTCACTGTCAATCAGTCTACTGCAAGGCTTTGCAATCCTTAGCTAAGGTATTACAAAGCACCATTCACATTTGCTGGTGCAACACAGTACACTGCAGGGGCCTTACCTGGTGCATGGGGCTGGCAGTAGGTCTCCATGTCGGACAGTTCTGTGCAGGTGAGGCGCACGCTGCTGTTGTCAAGGTTACTGTCAATCACCAGAACAAGCTCTGGCCTGGTGATGGAATTACACACACTCATCAAACTCTTCTACAGACACGGCATATTATGTATGCAGCAATTGTCTGGTTACAATTACAGGGCTTGGAGCAAAATGTACTGTGAATTCCATGCAGATATTTTTGTACATACATGTATGAAGAGGAAGAACCTTCATTGTGCTTGATTTTACCTATCTAATAGGACCCAACTAAAGCTTCGGTCCCAATTGCGCCGGTGCCCGTCGGGGATGTAGCCCCGGACGGCCCTGGTCGGGCTCAGGAGTCGGGCGGCCATCGGCTGTCGTGGTCACAATTAAATGTTTCCTTCAGTAGCATTTTGTTTAAAAAATTGTCACCCTCTTTGGTCGGTCTCCGGCAGGTACCCGACAGATTCTCTGACGATGTCTTGTACTGACCTATACGCAATGCAGAATTCGCGCTTTTGTTCTGATCATTTGATCTGTGACGTCACACATTTTACCCGGGTTTACGAAGTACACACCTTCATTCTGTTTATATGGTCTGTGACGTAACAAATGTGTCCCGGTGGACTGCCGCCCACCGGAAGGTACCTCTCGGTGAGGTCACGGCGTCTTTTTGTCAGCGGGGCCTGGGAAGAATTTAAGTCAGAATTAAATTCTTCTCGGGTCCCCACTGGGCCCAAAAATTGCCCGGTAGCCGCAGGGTGTCCCGCGGGGCCACGTACGGGTCACGCCCGAAAGCGCCAAAAAGCAGCCCGGAGACTACCCGGCAGGGCCCCTTTTTTCAATTGGGACCGAAGTATTACCCAAGTTACTAGTGCACATCATATGCATGGAAATATCTAATGTCACACCAGTATATGAAACAATAGATACATGTACTGTACTAGATACATTACAGTTAGACCAAATATACATGTACAATTATAGTGAATACAGTACATACTCTTGTATTCTCCTTGCTTTTGCCCCAATGGGTTTCTTGCCATCAATGAGGAGTGCGACGTTTGTGACAGAGCCCCCGTGCTCATAGGTAATCGGTGGTGTGTCACTCCATCCTCCGGACAGATCTATTCTAGCAGGACACTCTGCTACCACCCACTGTCCCTCACTGGGAACAGCGCTTTGCTGAGTGTAGATGAACTAACAATAAAGAAGGAGACAACAGATCTGTATCAAATCTACATGTATGCATGGTAGGAACAAAGCAACCAAAACTACAAGTCAACGAAATGAGGAACACATAGTACACCATCATACTGTGGATATCATCATTAGTAAAGGCTACAACACATAGCTGCAACACATTGCCATGCACAGGATAGACAAAAATATACTACATTGCCTAGTCTTTGGGTGTAACACAACAGTTCCATAGTTAGATTTAGTAAAAACATGATATGTTCATACATTGTAACAGTTTAGCCAGAATCAGTACCTGTTTTGTCGTCATGACAATTTGTCTTCGGAGAATCTGCTCAGCTCCCTCATAGTGCCGGGCTGCTCTGATCAGGAAATCTGGTCTGGAGCTTGGTGAGAAAAAAATGTTTTACCATAATTTGCATCTGATTGATACACAGAACACAATAAAAAGAAGTTTAATACATAATATCTAAAACCAACCTGTCCAGCCAGCATTCCCTCTCCAGTGCCAATGCCTGTATACCAGCTGCATATTCCCCTGCCTGTCAGGACAAAGACAAATCATCACTCAAATAACATTTTAAGAGGAATAAACATTAATGCTGTAGAAGTTGCTAGCTACAATGTCAGGAAATAAAGGATATTTTTTTACTAAAATGAAACATTTTGGCATCATCCAGACATGGTGTACTAAATTTCTTTGAAACTATTTATAATAATTGTAACTTTCCAAAAACAATCGTTCTGTTAAAAGAATTAAGAATGGGAGTCTGGAAATCATATAATATATTAATATGTTACCTCTAGAAGTTGGTAGGCTGGTTGCCACATCTTGTTGGCAGCAGGTCCACTCCTGAGGCCCCACTGCTGCCCTGCCAGGCTGCCCAGCACATCAGCGATACACGCCAGCGTACGTGCTGTCACGCCTGGGGTGGCTGTCTGAGTCACAACTACACATTCACACAAGGAATGACTTGTAGCAAATAGAGTGAGGTTTTGATAGCTTCCTATGGGCTAAAGAAATGTATTATCAACAATTGAATTAGGGTCTGTCTAAATTGTAATTTCCGTGCAAAGCAGATTTTCAACCATTATTCTGGGTAGTTTGCATTCGCTATAGTAACTTATACAACATATGGCATAACAATTGCATATATGCATTACAGTCACCAAAATGTCCTAACAGTGTTCAAAGTGAACCTCTCTCATCCTTGGGCTTAAAGTAAAATCCATAAACCTGAAGGTTAAGAAAGTTTTTTTATAAAGAAATGCATTCAACTACATATCAGAAAAGGGGCAAATATCTAGCCTTATGTAAGAAGACACAGGATGTTAATGACAAAAGGACAGAGGGATTCAACATCTTTAACATTCATTAAGATAGTTGAAAAGTTAAGAAAACAATCATGCAAATTGTGCAAATTATCCCTTACCCTGTGGACATGATTCCAAAGCCACTGTACATGTGGAAAGAGAAAACACCAATCCTTATAACCCGCTGGTGACTTATACCAGAGCCTTTATACATGACAAAACCTCAACATACAAGTATGTGACTGTGCATCTTATGAAGTATACATGTGCAACTGAGTGTAGTTGACAAAGATAAAGTTAATAAATAGACTGTTAAAAAGTACATGGTCCGTTGTTAGTTTGTTACATGTACATTAACATATACTTAGTTGATTAGTGGAATTCTTATGGACAATTACACAGTATATACTGAAGTTAAGCTTGACAGATGCTGAAGTTTCTGAATATCAAGCAAGTCTCTTTGAACCTATATATGACATACCAACTTTTATTGATCTAAAAAGACATGGAATTTAATTACATTACTTGTAAGTGCATACCATGTTCAAAGAATCTTGGTAGATCATCAGAGCACATGCAACTAGGCAAGTACCTAGGTACAAATCATGTATCTATCATCACAGATGTACTTTGAGCCTGCTTCTCTGCAATCCTGCATGCTGGTTCTCCTACTTGTGTTGAAGCCTACCTTGGTCCAGTGCAACCAACACCTGTCTGTGGTAGCCTTCCACTGCTGCAGACTTGAAGAATGGCAGGAGGCAACCCTCCCTTCCACTCAGTAGTACCTTCTGCACACGATGCTGCCCTACACTATAGAACAGATCTCTGCAGAAAGAAAACAGCTTAATGTATTGTTAGAATTGAAAGAATTCAATGAAATTTGTATATGGCATTGAGACCACCATTGCAGAAAAGAAAGACGCACTTCAATATAATGCTAAAAGTTGTTGACGCTGCAGGAAAGACCTACATGTACATTATAAGATCATAGTGTTCTGTTGTTTATATAAGAGTGCCTGCTAGTTTCTTACTGACCTTCTCCACTTGAACTCAGCAGAGTGGTCCACACTGGACAACACCTCCTGAAGACTGACTCTCCAGGACCCTCGCCACCTGTACATGGGCATGTCTGTAAGTCCCAAGCTTTTACACTCTTGAAGATGAATAAGAAATAGTTTAAAGGTACAATGTTATACTTCACTACAACCATAGCAGTGCCACTTACGGGCAATTCGGAAGTATACGTATATATGGAATGCTAGGTTGAAGACAGACTGCCATTAGCAGTTTTATTTGTCAGCAATCAAAAAAGTTCATTATGGAGTGTCTGGGTTATGAAAATCTCCATGCAATCCTTTATACACAAGGTAAAAACATGAAGTGGTTAAAGACTAACAACCTGTCCAACAGAGAGACTCCTTTAGTATTGTTGAGTAGCCATAAGACTTCAGCAATGCCCACTGGCTGGGTAGGGTGAAACACTGGGAACAGCTTAGCATTCATCAGACAGCATTCATCTTCTGGCTGGACAGAAAAAAACAACGTAAACTTATGCAATATTAAGCAATCAATGTGTGAAATATAGGAGATTCACTCTATCTCTTTTAAACCTGTTGCAACATGAATTATTTGTTATCACCCTAAGCTTTTAAGAATATTACGACTGGACAGAATGAAGAAAATAAAATGAATATATCAATGTAAAGTAATATGTATAATGTAGTTGTCATTAACCACAAGGAAAGCTGAAAAAAGTTGAATGAAAAGCTGTCACGATCAGAATGAGATCATTCTGCACAGTTTTGTTTTTCCTACCATGTGTGGACCCCATAAATCCCCCCGCAGAATCCCTGTTCTCTGGAAGAACACATCCCAGGATTCATTGCAAAAGGTGTTGTCTCCTCCAGCAGTTGCCTACAGAAAAAAAATGTGTATGAATGTTTCATATATCAATCTCAAGCTTCTACATGTTATTAAGAAAATAATTGAGTGGTTGACATACAGCAATATGACAGTAACATGATAATGATCATCCTTACCTGTAGCCCATCCTTCGTCCCAAAGACAGTGTAAACTGTGGCTGTGTTTGTTCCAAACAGTTTGACACGGAAGCACTGCAGTACTGTGTTGGGCACAATCTTGGTTGCCTGGAGAACCTGAAATGTGATGTACATTTAATCTACAGTTAAGTCTTAAGGTATGTAACATGTTTAAACATTCAGAACCATAATATTAAATGTTATTTGATTCACTAGTACTGCAGAAAAAAATTGCCATATCAAAAAATGTTCAGATATTATGGTACATACCTGAGACACCTCCTCACCCAGGGCATGCAGGTAACACCCCTCAGGGATACAAATGTGGCCCTGAGAAAGAGGAACAGTATTAGACAATTAGACTTGTACAATGTATCTTTTGGCGGCAGTGCTGTGTAGTGTTTATTTGAAAGGAACATAATGTTCCAATGCTCCACACAATCAATTGATGGAAGGAACCCAATAAGTACTATCAATTTACATTATGCTTAATGTACTAAATTATGTTTTGGGTATTCTATATATTGCTGACTTTGGTTATGTAAATTTTGTTGTTGTGTTTTTTGTATGGAGGAGGGCAACTTGTAAAGGTGCGTATGCACCTGTTTTGCCTTCCATTTCCCTCTGTGGAAAATCCTAATACACAAATAAACATGTAATTCCAAAGAAAATATGTCATAATAACACAACACGTTTAAAGAGAAAATCACAGCAACATTTTTGCCTTTTCTACATCACCACACAGAAAAGGCAAGAAGTTACTGTACAGTAACAACTGACCTTGAGGTGGCAGTGGTTGACTGCAGTCCCAGAGCTCACATGAACTCCTCCTTCTAACACAGAATTCACAACCACACTGCCATCTGCAACTGTGCAGCCCTCCTGTACCATCAAGGAACAACATAAACTTGACTTCAAATAAACTTTTGAGGCTTACAGTTTAAAAACATGACAATAATTACAGTGTTTGGGAAAGTAAACTATACAATCCCGTCATGTACTTTGATATACGTCGATATGAGTTTGAACACGTATGAACAGTATACAATTACCTGTATTGCAGAATGTGTGATGGGAGCCCAGGTTAGGTTGGTGATTGGGTCCAATTGCAATGGACACTTCACTAAATGCTGCAGGTGTACTGAAGCATCTTCTGTCATGTAGTCGTGGCGGCCATTTGGTATGCACACTAGGAATATCACATATTGGAAAAAAGTCAAATTTAGAGTGTATTATGCAAAATCTGGAAAAAACCTTGCTTCTCACGAACATGATTTAAAGTCAAATCATGTGTTGTTCCATTCTTTCCAACATCACTTGTCTTCGTAAAATACAAGAAAGGAATTCAATAAAATCAAGTCATGGCTGTGAATTAATCATCAGTGTATTCTTTCCTGCAGCCAAAGGTGTGTGTGTGTGTCTGTTCCAACTTCCAAGTGCATAAAGTTCAATAAACCTGCTTTCACATTGATTCCCCGTAGAGTTTTCCACAGCAGAGCTCTGGCACTTCTCATAGTCATGACCTCTCGCTCATTTCTTGGTCTCGGTGTTCCACCATACTGACCGCTACGATCCCCTGACACAAATGCCTCTTCCGTCACCAGAGTAGCCATGCACAGCAGGATGTCAAAGAACAGGGAAAGCTAGAAATAAGAAAACAACAGTGACTTTTTTTATTTAGGAAACAAGATAGTTGCATAAACAGATTTGTGGCAACCCATGCTGTTGAATGAAATATTAGGTGTAACGTTATATGTACGTTGTATGTTTACGGTAAAAACTTGTGACCTGAAATATAAAAGCGGTATGTTGCATTCAATTTTTGGAATATAAAGATGGAGAGATTAAAATTTTGCTAATGACCAATGCAATCAACTACTGCAAAATACATTTAACATTACCTTGATGGGTTCAGCTCCACTGTCCAATCCCAGGTAAGTACAGGCGTCCAGTGGGGGTGTGACATGTACAGTCAACAACCTTTCAGCTGCACCACTTGACAGGAACACCACACCTGCCACCTTTATGAAGGAAGGTTTATCAACGTAACTAAAGAATGACCAAGTAATAAGTAGCATAAGGTTTGTATTTAACATGGTATAGCAAGCTGTTTGTAATACCATAAGTATGATAACTGCCAAGCTTAGATAAATGTCACAAAAGCTTGGAAACGTACCAGGTGAACAGTTCCTTCTGCAGTAACCAGCTCCTGCATACCAACATTGGACGGTTTGTACACTATGTCTTCAACTGTGCCCTGTAAAAAAACAAATCAGACAACTGTATAACACAACTGATACAATACTTTTACCATAGGTAATGCAGCCCATCATGGTAATCTGTCAAAAGGTAACTTTTACATGACAAAATGTAACATTATGCACATACGTCATGATGTACATTTTCTCATATCTGACTGATCTAGTATAGCTTGAATAAGTTAAAATAATGCCAGTCAAATTTCTATCTAACAGTCAAAGCCATCAATATTCGGATTGAAAGCTGCCTGAGTTGTAATAACAGGACTTCCTACCTCAGGGTTAACCTTAAAAACACCATGGTTCCTGGCATAGATGACATCTGCAGCCACTGTTACAGCACAGACCCCAGTAAACCCTGTCCAGTCCACCTCTGCAACCAAAAAGGCAATGAATTAATCAGTCCTCCAGAAACACTGTACACCTGTCTATTCTGATCCAATCAGGACAAGTTTATCAGACATATATCGACGCAGGTCAATATCCAGAAAGAAATAAAAGCTCCTTCTCACCTAGAATGTTGGGAACAGTCAGCAGCATGTCTGTACTGCAAACCCAAACTCCAGGAGGGGAGCCAAGGGAGATCTGGAAGTACAAACCACCGTTTTATGATCTTTGTTTGAAATCATTTGCAGGGGTCGTCAACATTTTCAGCAATGCATTGGTGAGCACTGAGCACCAGTAATAAAGATCTTCTACTAAGTTCTATAGAATACAAACCCACCTTCCTGGTCATAGTGTCAAGCAGGCTGTCTAAGTTGCAGAATAATCCATCATATCCAACAGCAGTGTCTGCAGTCAGGGTGGCTGGTAGAGTGGTGAAGGCCTTCCCACATGGATTGTATGGGAAGTCACGCCCCTGACAAAATTTAGTTAACAGCAAAATCATTTTTAGGCTTAATGTGAAATTGTACTCTAAGGCACGGGCACAATGGAGAAGCTACAAACACTGCCTATAAAGCACATGTATCATAGCAACAGAGGGGATGTGACACTACTTGAGTTGCCCATACATACCATATGCATGATGAGGACATGGGCATCACTAAGAACATCTGAATTCACAACCTGAAAGTGAAATGAAAAATGTACAGAATTATTGCATTAATTAATGTCTACAGATCACTCACACACACTAAAACTATCCGGTTTAGTGTCTGTTGGTCCCCAACTTCTGAGGGTTAGACAAATTGGATAATTATTAGATACACATCCTTAGCATTGACAAATATTGTTTAGATTAAACAAATATGAAATTATTCATTCAAATTACCCTGGCATTACCATGATTCCCTACTAATATACATAAGTTAGGGATTAGTTTTCCATTCCACATCAATAGTGATATATGTATGTGACAATGTAATGACATCAGTTAGATCCTTGAAAGTGACATGATTACCGTAAAGTGACTCCTGGCACTGAGATGTTCAGCCACAATCAGCAGAGCATTCAGCGTGGCTCCACCACTGCCAACATGAGCTTTGGGATCCTCCACAGTCAGCAGTAAGGTATCAGAAGGGATCAGACCTTTCCTCTGTCGTAAGGTAAGCTCTGAAACAATTGGAATGCCATTTAGGCCACACCGACTTAACGTTAATTTTATGGATGAAATCCGCGCGCGCATTGATTTTCGAGAAAAAAAACGATCACATCCACTACTAAGCTAAGGCCTTGGCCTGGCTCTAGGCCTGGGTAGTCTATGGTAGTTAGCAACAATACGGAGCCGGGCCACCCTGGCTAACGAATCGCCACGACTCATCATGAACTCAGTACAGTGCCAATTCATATATTTTGCAAAAAGAATCATGTGCCGGCTTGTCGTATACGTACTTTGCTATGTACTGCTGCAAATTCACAATACCAGCTTTGCATTCTTGTGGTTTACTAGCATTTTTATTTTTGGCCGGAATTTCTTTTTATTCGCCTGTGCGCACTAGTTTGGGGGTCTTCAGAGGATGTCATCCATAGAATAAAGTCGGTGTGGCCTTAGTAGGAACAACATTGTCAACAGTTTATCACAATGTTGTGACTAAATGGACCACATCCCTTTTTGCTAGATACACAATGTACTGATCTGGAGCAAAATTAGTCATTGAAAAAACCAACTACTTATCAACACCTTAGATAGAAGGAAAGGTATTGTCTTGTAAGAGATGAAGAGTGTAACTAAGTTGTTAAGTTATTAGCACCTCAATAGTATTGAGGATGACAAAAGAGCAATTGTCGACAGCGCTATGCATTTACGATTTAATCACAGTCCTTTTATTATTTACGAAGGCCTACCAAATTGTCTTTTCTAAGAGCATACAGAGCATCTGGCTGATGTTACCCCAAAGTTTAACTGTTACTTCCTTTTTGAACCTCCTTGTTGAAAGTACCAGTTCACTATCTAGGCAATTGAATATCTTTTGATTACACCTCATTATTGTTTACGTATGGACGGTGACCATATGGGGGAGGGCCAAAGTAAACTTTGTGTATTGAAGCGAGTGGAAACCTCCAGTTGTAGATGGGTGAAGCCTTCATCCATCCACAACTGGTTCAAGATATGTGACATCCTTTTGACCCACCCACTGGTTACCAATTTGCAAAATAAGATGTCTAGCGACCAAGAGCCATATAGAAAGAGTCGTTATACTTCCGGGTGTCTGATTATAACAAACAAAGCAACTTCTTACCATCTTGGTAGGCGTGAGCACTGTCTACGTTCTGGCAGGTCAAAACGATCGCTGTCCAATGTTTCCCCATGACTCTTCAATTCATAAATTTGCCATTGTAGGTAACTTTTAGCCAGATATGCTGGCCTGCTTGAGCTTGGGCCACTCTGTCGCTTTGGATTATTCCACTGTTAACTATACAGGACATTATTTGGATACTACGAAACGTGTTATGACATTAAATCCAGGCTTTTATCATTTTTCTAAGTAACTTATATACTCGTATCATAGCTTTTATTGTGTATACGTATCTGTACGTGCAGTGTATACGTGGTTTTCTCTGCCTAATACAATTTCAGAGCACCCCTATTTTAGTGCAGTCAATACAAAATTGTATAGTCCAAATCAAAGATACAACCCATTTTGAAAGAGGGGTGAACAGATATATCATTCAGTTCAATTTTATGAGTGATTATCATACAAGAAATTTATTAGCACATTTTATCTAGCTGTATTGTATTATCTTAGCAGACGGGTGTGGAACTCACAGGATCGGACATAGGAACACTGGATTATAGGACCCCATTTCATATAATCGACTATTCCAACTACGTCATAGCTTAGACGTCGACAAGAAAATGGCCGATCATCAAAACTAGCAGCAACTAGACGCTAACTAGAAGACATAAGATTATCTTCAGGTAAGATATAGGCCTCCTTCTCGAAATGACAGCACTTCTCGTGTATTTTGCGGTCCAATATATGGTCCCTATCAGTCCCAATATGGTTTGTATATCTAAAGAAAACATGGTTTCCACAACAAGCGCGGGCATAACGAAAAGAAATATACCCGCAGGCCTTTTGTTAGACAAATTGAAATTAGATAATACACCTCATTTCATAATATATAGAACGTGTATATTTAATTGCTAGATCCTAGTGTAAATGTAAGGAACTAAATTTGGTTACAGGAATTCAGAATACGTTTGTAGACCCACTATTTGGGGTTGTGATTTTGGTAGATGTTTGAAAACATTTTGTAACGTTACACGTAGAAACTAAGAAAGAAACCTAATTTCATTAGCCTGGGCTGGGTACCAGACCCCAGCGATTTAATAGAATAAATCTCTCAACGGTGTCTCACCCAACACGCCCCACAGTTAGCACACCTCCACTAGCGTGAGAGATAAATTAGATCCCGGGTGCCAACTCTGGGATCAGGTTATCTCCAAGCAGATCTTTCGGTGAGGGTAAGACAGTATCAAATTGGCCAGCCTGTATCTATTTGCTAGACAGTATCCATTTCTCCACCGATGGCTAATGAACACTTCTGGCCAATGGATTCTGCCTTGCCACAGTATGATCTGCTTAGAGATTAGGATCAGGGCTTGTGGCTTTCCCCCACTGAAGGGGGTGTTGGATCTTGTGGGGTCAGGCCCTTAGGCTACCTACATGTAATGATGCAAATAATTTTTCCCTTAACAACTTGTTTAACAACTTTCCCTTTCATCCACAGGGCACTGTTCTAACTTGGGATATGGGCAAATATAGGACTGAAGGAACATTCCAAAATCAATGACCAGCTCAAGAACCTGTCTGCTTGATCAACAAGGCTCTTCGTTATTTCTATAGTACATTTTGAACATCCATAACTTTATGTAAATATGATAAGGATGACTGTTAAGCTCTTCCTTACCATGATAGTGTTGGTACTGATAATGGTGGGTGCCATGTACCATTTCACACAATCTGGGAAGTCTCCAATTGCACGAAGTGCAGGGACAACAACATCCCCTGGTGAGGAAGAAGAAAATGACAGTCAGTTGTCGAGATGGTGGCGAAAGTTCCAAGGAGATGGTGAACCAGTACAGGTCAACAATAGCGCACCTGTGACGGCTTCGTCACTGCAGCCAACTTGTAAAAGAGTGTGGCAGAAGGGCCGGTCGTCGTGGTTTGATAGCAGGTTTGATGAGAACATCAGGCCTATCTGGTCACGAGCTAACATAGAGCTGCCTGCTGACGCCAGGAAATGGTGGATGGTAAGGATGTCTCTTTGTACTAGAAAGGTAATACATGTGCATGGAGGGCTGTTTTGCTGAGCAAACTTGTGAAAATTGCTTTTATTCAAGTAAAAGAGTGTTGTGGTGAAAAGAGTGTTGTGATGTGTTCTGTTCACAAGGTATATGACCATTTACAAATTCAATGACATACCCCATATTTTGCTGTAGACACTCCAGAGCAAAAAAGATGAGGACCCAGCCCCCCTCCTGAATGCGTTATTTGACATGGGAGCGCCGGATAAGGACCCATGGGCCACCCGTAACCTTACAGGGTGTCTCCGCTGTGCTGTGGTGGGGAACTCTGGGAACCTCAGGCAGTCCAACTATGGGGAAGAGATCGACAGATATGACTTGATCTTCAGGTCTGGTTGCAATTATTTAAAGCATGAGTATTGGGAACTTACATAAAGGGCTGGATACTACTAGATCTCACATAGTTATGTTTACCTTTGCAGAAGGAAAACATATTGTTTTTGCTCAGTTTCTTGTTCCGTTCCAAATGCGTAAGGTCAATGACCTGGAACAGATGTCTGTCACCATGGTAACTAGTATTTTAGTAGATCCCATGTAGTGTTTGATTAAATGATATAGCAAGGGACAGGTTACCATATACATTGTACTAGTGTGCATGCATGTGTTTGAGTAACAGAGTAGTACTTTGTAACACTAGACCATGTGAAGATAAACATTATGCATTATTAATTTGCTTTGCCAATGTTGCCTTTCTAGTATAGAATTTAATTGTATTTGTGTTCTGCTGTAACATATTTGCCAAACATGACGTATATCACATGATCAGCAGTAATACAGTATTGAATGGGAAAATGCTGCTCTAGCTTGGAGTAGATGAGGCAATTTGTAACAGTTGTTGATTGACAGTGGTCTAACCAAGAATATGTCTTTTTTACAGAATGAATGGGGCCCCAATTAAGGGCTGGGAAAAGGATGTTGGCTACAGAACCACCCACCATTTCATGTACCCAGAGAGTGCTGCAAACTTGCCAGATGACGTCAGCTTTGTGCTACTGAACTTCAAACCTCTAGATCTCAAATGGATGAGGACTGCACTGACGGATGGGTCCATTACTCGGTAAGGGGGTGAAATGGTCCTGAAATTTTAGAGGGACCCTCAAAACAATACATTAAAAGCCAGAATGACTCCTTGATTTATAAGGTCATTTCCTTGATTTCTTAATAAAATAGACCCTGCATCATCTTTCCCTGGCATGCATGTTTAATCATTGAGGTTATTACATTGTACTTCTGGTAATACATTCATTTGTTGCACCATTCCGACTCACCGCAAGACTTTTGACCATTCAATTCTCTTGTTTCAGGACATGGACACATGTAAAAGGTAGAATTCAGACGAACACATCAAAGGTCAGAAATGTTTTGTTTGCATTCTGTATACAGTGTATTCTTTTAAGATGTTGTATCTGCAACTAACTGTTTTAGTACAATTTGGAAGACAAGTCCAGAAAGAGCAAAGCTGACTTACATGTATATGTATTGTACTGTTATATGTACTTAACATTCCATAGTGTGACTGAAGAAGTACATGTAAGGTAAAGGTAAAGCAATCATCCTCATATTGAGGTGAAGGAGAATGCTTTTTAAATATTAATGGCTTGGTATAAAGCAGCTTGTACTTTCTGCCAAGGACAAGGTTCTTAAACATGCAGAACTTTGATGCTCTAGCCTCTTCCAGAAGGGAAAATGCAACTGTACATAGAATGAGCCTATATAGGGCTCAAATCCCAACCTCTGGGTCCACAAATAGTGTGGGCAGTAGTATTGCAGACCATCACGCTTTGTAATTGATATTCTATTGTAAAGAAAGTAGAAATCAACATTTCATCAAAATTTTACTTTTCACAGATTCTGGTGTACAATCCTGCTTTCTTCAAGTATGTACATGACAAGTGGACAGAGCATCATGGGAGATATTCCTCCACAGGCAGTTTGGTTGTCCTGTTTGCGATACACGTGTGTGATGAGGTAAGGAAAAACATTCAAGCAGGTGCAGTTGGATCATTTATTCCCTGATTGTGACACAGGTTCTTTTAAGGATGTTTTGATACACAATTTGTATAGGTTTGTGCATGCAGTCAATAATCTTTGTTATGTGCCACATGGGAAATAAGGAGGATTGTAACATACCTATTAATTTACACATCTTAACTGTTTTTCTTCAGTGGATTCATGTGATGGAAGAAGCATTGTCTGTGATGGCATTTTGATTAGGTTTTACAGCCAGCAGAGGACTAAAGCAGTAGCGTGAAAGTAACCCAAAGTAGAAAGACCTGATCACTCACACTCACTCACTCACTGTCCGGTTTATCGTTGATCAATGAAGATATGAGATATCTAGCAAGAACTGCAGGGAAGCTCACTTTTTCCCTTTCTTGGTTACATGTACGTGCACTCAACCTGCCACCTACTGATGTCTGGTGTACACAACACATACTTGGTACATGGGAGAGCTCTTTCTACATATTGCACATAACAGGCTACAATCCACAGGTTTCTTTTCTAGGCATGCAGTCGAACATTTTATTTGGAAACATAGCATTGATTCAGGTAGCCTTGTGGTGGGAGTTGGATCGTTTAATGCCTGTCACCTTTCTATGACTACAGACAAGGAAACATTTGACTGTTGCCCTTCCAATGTCCGTCTGTCTGTCTGTCTCCAGGTGAACGTGTATGGATATGGAGCAGATGTGAATGGCCACTGGAGTCATTACTATGATACTTCCCATGTAGAGGGCTCATATGTCCATCATACCAGTTTTGAAGCATCTCTCCTGGCCAGGTTGGGGTCAGAAGGGATAGTGACAGTACACAGAAGGGACCAACATGCCCACTAGACTGTTGCAAACCTCTGCTTGTGTGTAGGTTTGCTGTCCCACCTTCAAACTTTTGAGCGTGTGATGGTGGCTGCTTTCTACTCACTTGTTGACACCCATAGGGGTAGTTACATACTCACTCGGGACATAGGAGTTAAATTTTTGTGTTATGATTTATATTTCCCATCCTATATACATCTATATCATGTAACATTACATGGTCCCTACACTAAAGTAATCACTCACTCACTCATTAGTTACATAGTAGTTACATACTCACTCGGGACATAGGAGTTAAATTTTTGTGGTTATGATTTATATTTCCCATCCTATATACATCTATATCATGTAACGTTACATGGTCCCTACACTAAAGTAATCACTCACTCACTCACTCACTAACTCATTATCAGGTTTATTGTCTGCTATTTTCAATCTCATGGTAGTTGGGCGTGTTTGCATGCAGGTGTGTAGGGTTGATGGCAGCCTACCACGTGACTCTGTCATGTGGGTTTCCATTGTGTAGGTGGGGAGATGAGAGTGATGCCTATGGGAAATATATTGTTTTTGCTCATGTTGTGTTCTTCTCATTCTTTTTGTTCTTGTTATAGTTTAACCAACAGCCTTCCAGAAGGGGTGAAGGATTCCACTTTGCTTGTTTGCTTTGTTTTTATGCATATTTTGACTTTCTATGCCTTGATGAAATTAATAAAGCTATTACTAAATTGTAAGGAACAAATAGCCTTGTAAGGTCAGTACCATAACTTTTATACATATGATATAATACAAGTGGAATGGTCCACTGCAAAAATGTCTAGACATGCAGTTAGCTAACCATGCTACATATCTGTAAACATAGAGGGAAATATCCTGTATTTGTTCTATCTGTTACTTCAGGTGGACCTGTATGGTTATGGAGCTGACAAACATGGGAACTGGAACCACTACTGGACCACGTCCTACTCTGGAGCGGCCCACCGATCCACAGGGGTGCACGACTCGGAATTTGAACGACTGCTCCTGGACAAACTGCAGTCAGAAGGGATCATCAAAATGCACAGAGGCAATGCAGCTAACAAGTAAAGAGACACCCATGTGTGCTATAATCATGCTGCTGCTACTAGTACTAAGTACTAGTAGCTTTCCTGCACAGCTTTCCTGCAATCAGAATTATTCCACTTCTTCACATAGTAATCACTTGATTGTGTGGTTTCTTTAATGAGAACTATCGACACCATGTTTTGTCAGAACTGTATAATTAGATTCTTATTGTGTGTAATCTTGGTGCATATAACTATAATCAGACTAAGTCTTGTGATTTTAGCTTCTCAAGTAAATCCAGATGGTAGCCACTGAAGATAACTAGTTTTGTGTCGTGTGTCGCAGTGAAATCATTCAATGAAATGTTAAAATCACCAAGTATATTAATTGAATTACTTCTCAACTATTGCAGCTGTAAATTTTTGTTGTTCGTTCTGGGCAATCAATTTTTAATACGTAGGTTGTCTTAAAGAACCCTACAGTAGGTCACAGTATGTGTTGTACAATTTAACATTGCTTTCATGATTTTCATAGATTAGCTCGCAATGATTTGTATGAAATCAAGATCATTACGTGTGCAATGATGGCGTATCTACATATGTGCTAGCACATGACACCATGTATACTATACAAGGCAAATCAATGTACGAATGTAGTATCAAATTGAATGGGCATGGTGTTCACAACTACACGGAATAAAATGCACTTTCCAGCTTTGAGGGCAATGCACTTCTGGTAACAAATATGATCGCATTTTCGTAGCCTCCACCAGGCCTTCTTAAGGGGTTACGGATAGTAATTTGGCCAAAATAAGGTCAGCAATGGACCAGAAGAGTGAGCTACAAGAGGTAACATTTCCTGTAAATGGAAATCTATGGTGGCCAAAACCACCAAGTCAATTAATGTCCCCTAATTTGGCTACATGTACATTTTCAACCTGTGTTGCTAGTCTGGTGGGGACTTGTATTGCCCTTTGTCCACAAGTGATGTGTAGAGAGCAGGCTATCAGTGATTTGTACCACAACTATGACCACAGTGTAACAATTACTTGAAAGGGTTGACATTGCAAGTATCTATAGACATGCATGCAGCTTTGTTTGCAGTATAGAATACCAGAATGCCTCCAAATTGTAATATCTTACAACCCTTCTCTTGTCAACCACTTTTCTCAATGACATCAAGCCTGTAAAGATTCCATTTTGTTTTTGTGTTTTATAACATTTTTTTACCATTGTATTGATATTATATTGCATCAAGAAGATGAATGAATGCCAATAGGACAATGTATTCACAATCTGACAGTTATGTATTTACCGTATCTGCATCTGTAGCAAGTACTATCTACTGGTCTTATACTTAATGTACAGTGGGATCAAATAGAAGCTTTGTATTGTATCAAATGGCACAACTGTATAGTAGTTACAGCTATAAAAGTAGTGATGCCCTGCTTGTTGAGCCAAACTTCTCAGTAGATTTGGTGTACATGTCAAGATGATCATGACTGAAATTAAAGTTGATTCCCTCATGATTTACTGAGATTGATTCACTTTCAATTCTGCTGAATGATTTACATGGCCTGTCTCTTATCAAAATCTCACCTGTATACTCTGTTAAACCAAGGAGGTTGATTTTGAACCTACTTGGTTACACCAAGATGACTCTGCATACAACTGACCACTGTTTTATCTCTTGTTTCAGTTGACCAACATGAGTTTTGATGAGGCTGTGACTGAGGCTGGTGGCACAATTTGGAACAATTGACAGACTGCAAACATAAAAACGGGTTTAGTTTAGCATGTGAACATTGCTTCACAAGAGATACCACCCAAGAACACTTGTATGCTCAACACGTTTGTGACTCTCAATCGAGGCTGTTTTTTTTAATTTTTTTTATTTCTTCATTACAATTAATACATACATCACTTACAAAAGACACTCAATCGAGGCTGTTCTCACCCTTCCCTTAACCAACTACATTCCCGTATGAGTGGCAATTCTGAACCACATAGGGCCCAGATGTTGCACTAGACTGTCCCTCCACCTTGTACAGGGCCACACTCTACGTCTTCTCCCTTCCCGGGGTGTCCACTTAGTGCCTATTAGTCTTAGCGTCCACCTGTTGTCTTGTAGCCTCGCTATACATGTACATGTACCGCCCAGCGATGCTTGGCTGTGTTGACAGCAGCATTGACGTCACCTACACCTGTCTGGAGTCGAATCCAGGAGTTTCTTTGTGGCAGACGAATGTATATGTACATGTTTGGAAACAAATAGCAAGACAATAAAATTTGAACTTTATTAATTGTTCAATGTATGGCATCGTTACAGCAAAATGCTGCTTTAGTAAGGGAACGTTGCGTTAAATAACATTGCAAGGAGGAACCTTGGTCTACAACTAAGTTAACCAAATTTTATAAAACACGACACAAGATGTCCTCTCCCAGCAATTCTCTTCAAACCAGCACGTCGGCAGAACATACTGGGCCTGCGCGAAACATACATGTAGCACTTCAAATTGGCAGCACATCGCATATATGGTCGTATTCTCGTATATAAGGTTAACATTCCGACTGTGACTGTAGTTTCCAAGTGTTATGTCGGAAAAGATATGTCTGCAACAGGCAAAGTTCCGATGCAAACATCCAACGAAAATCGTGAAATTTTTTTTACGGGTTACAGGGTTTTTACGCAGGCACAGTACGTTCTACCGACGTGCTCTTCAAACCCCGGTGGGATTCATGGTCACTGGCTGATATATTCTAGTCAAGTAGCCCTAGTCACGCATACTGATTAGAATACATTTTACATCCATTATGCTTTCACATCAGATATGCATGATGTCATAGGTCGGATCCAATATACTAGGACAGGTACATGTTCTGTGTGCATAATAAAAAAGGTAGGTAAATGTGTCTTTATTAAAGAATGATTTGTGAGGTCGTGGTCGTAGGTAGGGTGTTTGACCTGAAATGGATCTTCTCCTTCTTTTGGTTTATATAATAGAGATTAGTCCCTGTTGAGTCATATGCATTGGAAGGACACTTTGCAGTAATATCTCCGGTGTGTATCTGAATGCCTCAGGCTTCAGTTAGGGACGTCTCTCTGGCGTTGAATGCAGCTGCAGGTAACGTTTTTTAGGAGATCCACTGATTCTCATATTGTGTCAGTTTACTGTGGGTAACAGTATTCCTCATGTTCAGTGATGTTCCTGATGTACAGATATCGCCAGAACAGATACTGTTTCAGGTCAATTCGGTATTCATTCAACCGTTGAAGTATTATTCGGATCTTCCGTGCGTGGCGACAATTGTGAGAAAATTTAAAGGTGACGATTTGTGCCACATGCGACAAGACTTGTCCCACCCAGCGGCTCGATGCTAACGCCGCACCAACCATGCTCTTAAGCTGCATACCATCGCGAGTAAGAACAACTATTACAGGCTTTCGTTCTTCCCTCGTACCATCCAGGAGTGGAACTGAAGGAGGGGACACTAAGGAACGTAAATAACTGAATCTGTGTGTGTAAAAGACAAGACAGTGCATTTAGTGTGTTAGTAGGACACATATATACATATGTACAAGACGTATAGGGGCGACTCAATGCAGCGGGGACGTCCTCGCCAGTCCAGTTTTGAACTGGGCGAGGGACCCCGCCTCCGCCACACCAGTTGTAACTTGTATTCGTGAAGCCTCACAACTTAGTCTGCTCTGCATCAAGAATCCTGCAAAGTTGTAAAAACTGATTAAAAGTGCCCTGACTAATATATAATTCTCATATCGGAATGTTCCTCGTACTTTTTCAGTCGTCTCACTGCATTTTGTGTACAAGTCATTTTGGTGTCACGAAGATAATGGTATAACTGAAGAGCTGAAATTAATTTTGAATAATAAAGTTGATTTTCTCTTCACTTTCTGAGATTTATATGGCCTGTCTGTTGTCACATGTACGTAACGTTATATCGCTGAACTATCGCTTATCTGCATATCAAGTTGCAATTTCAATCTACAGACAAAGAATCAAGAATTGTTTTAACATTCGAGTAAGAATTGAGCAATATTCCGTCGTTATATGTCGATAGAAAATGCGGAAAACACCAGGCCACCTCTATGTATTCACTGACATCTAAAATTGAATCCAAGCAAGACATGAATTTACGAAATAATATAACATGTTACATGTGACCACGGAGATCGATTGGGACACCTGTTAACTGGGGTCTTTTTTTTATTCCAACATATAATCTTTTGAGTTTACACATCGCCAAAATGTAGCTATGGTACATTTTATATTTGAATGCTGAATGTCTGGTGTATCTCGTTGACGAGCGCTGCACGTTCAGCGTCTCTTTCTTTCTTTCTCACACATCACATGGAACAAAGCCAAAACTTTTGCGAAGTTTATTTTCACGCACGGCATCCTGGGTAAAAATGGCGGCCCCAGACAGGAAGGGAGGTACGTGTCGTTCTAGTTCTGTTCCGCATTTTGTCGTGTTCTTGACCAGTAGATGTTTCCCTTTCACAAGGTATCGTAAGCCGAAAGTAGGTTAGAATATAGAGGGGTCGATACGGTGTTCACAACACGGTTTACAGCTAAATTGCCCTTGGAATGTCGAATTTTGTAACAACTTCACCCATTCGAACAAGCTGAAAGAGGGAGGGGGGCACAAAAGTTACTACCGGGTAGTAGTCAACGTTTCCGTGGTACCAAGGAGGTTTATGGTGGTACCATATTTTTTGGTGCTCATGTATTTCAAAGGTACCTAGCATGCACTTTGAAGGTACCTAGCAGGCACTTATAAGATTAAACAGATAGAGATGACATTGTGTAGTGAGCTAAACCAGTTTATGGCTCATTACAACCTGTAACGTATCACACGTGTAAATGTACACAGGTTACTACGTAACTTACATAAAAAATTTATGACCTGCCACACCTAACCTTTGTGGGTCTGACTCCAAGCAATTTGTATAATCGACATGCCACCCCCTCCCATGTCTATATTTGTTCAGTTTATACCTCTTATCAGCATGCAGTTATGTAGGTGCCAGACTTAAGTGATCTAAGTACCTAAATGTTGTTTGTTGTGGACATAAAGCCACTTGTAATAAGAGTTGCATTTTACGTCTCTCTCACTGCATGCTACAGTTCTGCACAGAGTTGGAACAACAAGAATAATAGGACACTATCTATAGAAGGACAGTGTAATTGGAGCCTTGCTCTCAATTCCCAAGGGGACTATCAATGAACTTCATCTTTGGGGAACATAATCACCCCCCCCCCTCAGTGTATCAGCCAGGGGGGTAGGTTTTCCTCAACTCTCTTCTTCTGTATCCCAGAACATACCCACCCCTCCCTCTCCAACTCATTATCTGGATTAGGTTTGGTAATTTTTATTGTGCTTTAACTTAGTTTAAATATGATATTTATTATGAAGATGTAACAGCATTCCTTAGTAGTTTTCACAAACAGTATATTCATCAGTGCGACACAGGAAAAAAGGCCCCCCTCAGGATGGCAGTGGTGACTTTGTCCAGCCGCCACCCCAGAAGGCCGTTACCAAGGAAACCAGGTTCAAGAGGTTGTTTGGCTTTGACCTTGAGGAGCTGCAGTCATGGTCAGGGTTTGTCCAGCTGCTCAATCGGCCGGCCGACCCAGCAAACCTGGGGGTGCTCCGTTTTCTCTTTGGTAAGATAACTGTATGACCTAACTAGACTTCATACCTCCATGACATGTTTAGTGCTTTCGTAAAACTTATGCATGGTGATGACCACCTGTATATGGCTTACATTTACAATCTTGCTCATTAGCAACATTTGACCAAATATTGAAAAAGCTAAATCTTTCATTGCCAGTCAAGTGAAAGCAAGATTTTAAAAAGATTTACTTGCTTTTGGTGATGGTCAAGCAATGACATGAAGGTTTTGCTTCAAGGACTATTTTTCTAATATATCAATATTCATATACGTACATAACAAAAAATTAAAAAAGCACTACTATTTAACCATTTAGTGTACGTTGTAGTATGTTACATGTATCTTTTTTTTTCTTTATCCCACTTCTCAGGGTTTCTGATGGTGCTGGACATCATGCAGGAACGCGGCATGTCCAACTTGGACGTGCGGTTTGGGGACATAGACATGTGCTTCTTCCCTCTTTTCAACTTCCTCCAGCCACCCTACATAGACTGGCTCTACATCGTTTATCTGGTCATGTTGATAGGTAAACATACAAGTTCATTTCTTCAAGTGTAAGCTGTATTATATATACATTTATGTAAGATAAGAACACCTAGCTATAGGTTGTTGCAAAAATTATTTTATTGTCCAAGGATGTTTAAATGCAGATGATAGTTTGAATTTACAGATAATTCAGTACAGGAGCTATATTTCTAGACTCAAATACATGTATGTTGGTCTTGTGTCCATATGGTTCAATAGGTATCTCACCGGAGTTTTATTCCTACAGGTGCATTAGGTATCATGCTGGGGTTTTGTTTCCGTCTCAGCTGCCTGTGTTTTCTGGGGCCATACTGGTTCATCTTCTTCTTGGACAAGACAGCGTGGAACAACCACTCCTACTTGTATGGACTCACCTCATTCCTTCTGCTGATGTCAGATGCAAACAGATACTGGTAAATGATAGAGACTCTTTTTCTATAACAGCTTATGGCACCAAATTGTTTTTAAAGAGAGGAAAGAAAGAGTCCCGTGAATGACATGACAAAATATTTCATAGAAGCTAAGTTACAAATGTACATTTGCACTCTGCTTTTGCAGTACAAAACACAAGTCTGAAGTTGATTCACATTAAAGGGACTTGGGGATGCCATTTTTGAAACTAAAATCTAGAGTTCACCATCATTTGTCCTTTTTCAGGTCAATTGATGGTTTATTGAACAAAAAGCTGCGGAACTCCCATGTGCCTTTATGGAACTACACACTACTACGCTTCCAGGTACCAGCTAGCTTTCCCACAACAGTCATATCATTGAATGACATGGCCTGTTGTGTGTGTATTGGAAAAACTTTGATATGACTTGTATGAATATGAGGGAATTTGGAGTTCACAATTTGATGTTAGATGAATGATTTGGAAAAGGACACTAAGTCTTGACTTATTGGAGTATTGACTGTAAATATCTTCATCACTTTTTGTCTAGATCTTCATCGTCTATTTCATCGCTGGACTGAAGAAGTTGGATGAAGACTGGGTGACCGGACACTCCATGACCAAACTCTCCAAACACTGGGTCTTCTCACCTTTCACGTTAGTGCTCTTTACATGTAATGTGGTCTTTCCACATGAACACACACATACGCATGTTGATAGGTACACACACACTCACACATACCGGTACATGTACACACATATGCAGCTGCACGTATGCACACACACACACACACACACACACACAAAGAATCTTACTATATAGTACAAAGCAGTATTTCTATCTTTGTCATCAAGGAAATATAATATAAATGAAAATCTATGTAAATTGTTGCTGCATGTTTCAAAAAGAGAGGAGATCTTGTAGATAGAGGCATAACACAGTAATGTAGCACTTTTTTCTCCTACCCTTGTACTACGGGTAGTACAATGTATCTAAGTTATCTAACCTAGTGCATTTGGCCCATGTATGTGAACATGCAATATTGTCATTGTCATCTCTGACTGCAGGCTGTTTTTGTCGGAGGAGTTTGTGAGCTATTGGATGGTTCACATGGGAGGCCTGATCATTGATCTGACCATGGGATACCTGCTGTTCTTTGACTTCACCAGACCAATAGGCTTCTTCTTTGGAGGATCCTTTCATGCCATGAACTCACAGCTCTTCCACATAGGTGACTTCCCTTGCCTAGTATCATAATTATGATTGTTGAAATTTGGTTAATATTGTGTCACTGATAAAATATTTCTAGAGAAACGAAGATCTTGTGCTCTGCGCTGAGACTTGGCACCAATTTGATTTGTTGGTTCTCGGATTTTTTCAGAAAAAATATGAAGAAAATAAAAACAGACCAAGGCATCCTATGATAGCCCCAAATGGCATGGTAGGAGCCATGAAGTCAACATACCAGGCTAGTTTGTAATCCAAATGTTACATTTCAAACCTTTAATCAAACCAATGCATTGATAGATGGAAAAATTGTAACACTCTGAAAAGAAGGGACCTCCTTTAACTGTTGGGACCAAATTATGAGCATTTTGGAGTTGATTCTGAGCCTGAAATGTTTTTTTTTTTCAAATCAGAAAAAAATGAAGCAGGCGAATCTGTGAACCAACAGATTGAATTGGTGTGGCCTGATGGAATTTTAAAATTTTAAATGAAGCATCATCTACCTTAAATTGTTAGTGAGTGGTAGATGCTTCAGCAATCAATATAGGTCTTAAAAGCTACAGTACTAACCAGAATTCATTATGCCCTATCCTCAGGCATGTTCTCCTACACCATGTTGGCCACCCTGCCCTTGTTCTCCTCCCAGGACTGGCCTAAAAGACTGGTACACAAATGTCCAGACAGGATCAAGGTTGTCCTGCCACTGGACACTCCTGCACAGGACAGCAGGAGGTGTCTCTATACTAGGGACTTGAAAGAGGTGAACATATTTCATGTGGACAGTCGATGGGGTCAGATGCTGTGTGGGATTGTATAGCTTACAGTTACACCCAACTATAAGACTTATAATACAAAATGAGAAAACTGCCTGATATACTAGTAGTACTGTGTTTTCCCATTATTCATCCTTTGCTGAAAGCTGCACTGTAACAGTAGTACAACTTTGGAAAGTTGTAATTTCATATTGGCACGCCAGTAGTAGGCCTCATCACTGATAGCATAATGTTGTTCATGTTACAAAATCAATTATTGGTAGAGTCAGTTATGCAGAAATTATTCAGTTGCAGGGTTGGTGATAGTGAAGAGGATGAATAGCTGAACAAAATGAAATGGATGAGTGACTGTGAGATTTCCTTCTTAGAAAACTTACCAGTTTTCTTACCAGTTTTCTTGGCTCTACTTCTTCTAAAGGATCCACAGGCCAAGACGGGGAAACAGAAGAAGCCACCGACGAGACTGATCCACCACCTGTCTGCTGTGTTTGTGCTGCTGTACATGTCAGAACAGCTGTTCCTGCCATACTCACACTTCATCACACAGGTTTGCTCATACCGTATAACACTTCATAAGGATAGGAGTGATAAAATTGCCTAATGAACAAATCCAAGGGAAATTGGAAAATGTTGTTGCTTTCTGTTTCTATTCATGAGGAAAGAGATCCAGTTGTTCTGCTATCTGCTCTGTATGGCATCAGACAACCTAGCAGCCATGTGCGCCAAAAAACAGTTACTCTTAAGCAACTGGATATGATGTTGGAAGTGGTCAGACGTTTCAGGTAGCATCCACTACCTTTTGCTTATGTCAGTGACACTAGAGAGTTGTCAGAGAAGCAGGTTTATAAGTACAAACTATTGATTGATATGCAAATAAGTGAAGACAAATACCTTATAAACCTGCCTTTCTGACAACTCTCCAGTGTCAATGATGGGCGGTATTGGATGCTAGATTCCTGAAATGTCTGACTGTTTCCAAAATCATATCCAGTTGCTTTAGTAACCATTTTTTGGCGTATCTTATTACCTGGATGTCTAACTTTCACTGAAGTAGCAGCCATGTGACTGAACTTGTTTCCCACTGCAGGGTTACAACTCGTGGACACAGGGACTGTATGGGTACTCCTGGGACATGATGGTCCACACCTGGTCAGTCCAACACATAAAGGTCAAGTATGTAGATGCAGCCACAGGAGAACATGGCTACCTTAGGCCTGGGGTGAGTACAGTTTTTGTACTTTGTACCACAAAATTTTTTCAGAATACTTTCAAAGCCTTATTTCATATACAGTGTTTCTATGCACTACATATCACTACTGCTGGCTTTGATATTTTGAGAGAGATCCACAACATCTGTAAATAGCTGCATTGTTACAGTAACACCTACATGTAGCTCCAGTGCACAGTGAACCAGTCATTATAGCCCTGATGAAGGTGATAGATGGTCACCGAAACATTGGCTCATGTGAAACGAATGGTTGTGAATAAAAGAACTTTACTCTTTGAGGTCCACAACAGTTCTGCACAAAGGAAAATGAGCCAAACAGTTTGTATTGAATGTTGTTGCTGTCTGTACCAGGTGTTTACAGCGTCTAGCCGTTGGAGCAGCCACCCTGACATGCTGAAGCAATACGCCACCTGTCTGCAGCAGAGACTACAGGAACACAACATCTCCCAGCCACAGTTCTACTTCGACATCTGGAAGTCCATGAACAATAGGTTCCAGCAGAGGTCAGTTCTGGTGCCAGGAACAGTGTGAAATAAAAGTGTCTATATATATATGTATAGTCAATGAGACTCTCAAATCTTACATCTTTCATTGCTATTATGAAGCAGTTTACACTGTAATTTTCAACACAAGAGATTGGATGACCCAATTTTTTGACTGTACAACTCCAGTCTTTGTCAAGGAATGAGCAATCCACCGCCTCCGTGATGTCACATTATGCAGGTGACATATGTGACTCAGTGAGCAGTGGATCGTAATTATATAAATAATAAGTTGCAGAAAGTCTGTGCTTTGTTGAGGGAAGGTTGTAGTGTCTGGATGTAGATGGCCTTTTTCATTGCTACCTGAATTTCTTTAACATCTTCGAATGAAAGCTCATCTGTGTTGGTAGAATCCATAGTTAAAGAGTTTGACTTGTTCCAACACAAGAAGGAAACTCACCATAAATTTCGGCTGATCCCGTCAACCTTCGTCAGATTTGTGATGCAGTCGCTGACTTTCCGGAAGTCGGAAACGTGATGACGTCAGGAGTGCATCAAAAGTGGCGGGAAGACGGTATCTCCCACCATCACGGTTCAGAGAGGGTTGGTGGGCCCTGATGTAAACTGCCTCCTTCACGCCTCTCACAAAGTAATCCTGCTCCGTATCTAGAATGCGCACCTTGTCCAAAGTAACTGTATGTCCGGGGGACAAATCTGACGAAGGTTGACGGGATCAGCCGAAAATTTATGGTGAGTTTCCTTCTTGTGTTGGAACAAGTCAAATTCTTTAACATCTGTTATGCAATACCAAAGTTTGTGGACAAAATAACATCACAGCAGTACATAGAATTACAGTTAAAATATTTGTATGGCAGTGAGTAATTGAATATATCAATGTGCTTATTATGTTTGACTCTGCTCCTTCCCCCCTTTCCCCCCAGGATGGTTGATCCCCGTGTGGACATCGTGACGGCTGATTGGTCACCGTTCAGCCCCTCCTCCTGGATGATGCCACTATTGGTCGACCTCACACCATGGAGGGAAAAGTTTCAGGAGATCGAGGAAACAATGGCGAATGAAACAGAAGTGGTCTTTGTGGCAGACTTTCCTGGTATGTACAGCTGTACATGTATTGTTGTCAGGTATCCTAATAGTAAGTTTGGTAGTCTTATGTACAGTCTTTATGAAGTAGCACTGGCTTTTCTTTACATAATGTTCTAGCTACATTTGTATACTAAGTCTATACTAAGAACAGCCTACAAAGTATATACATCTACATGTATGACAACAAACTTTGGTAGGTCAACTTTGGTCCCAGCTGACTTTCCCTTGCCCGCTGCAGGTCTTGAGCTGGAAAACTACATCAATGAGGACTTTGATAACGTCTCCCTGACTGTTCTGTTTGGAGAGGTCAGGGTGGAGTTCAAGGGCAAGGAGAACAACGAGAGTCTGAAGAACGTCACCTTGAAGAAAGATGACAAACTGGAGGTCAGATGAATATCTATGATGAAGAACTTATAACATACTTGTAATTTCTACACCGTGACACATTATTAGGGTGCTCTGTATCATGATTTCAGATACACATGTACAATGTACAAACCCAATGTTTTGTTGTCATAGATTCCCTCTGGAGAGTTTCACAATGTCCTGACCACGTCAGAATCTCCCTCCTGCTACTTCTACATCTCCACCAACCAGACGGAGGTGGAGTTCAACAAGAACATGGCTGAATATCTGGAGAGACAAAATACATCTTCCTCCAGCACAGATGAGAACACTGGAACAGGTAGTATGTATGTTCTAACAGATTGTAACCAGATAGCAAAATGTGACACAAATTATAGATGTTCAGTTGTGCAAATCGCTTAGACATGCACTTGTTTGTGCTCGAAGTATTTTTATGTTTAAAAGGAAAACATCTTGTTTTTGCTACATTTCCTTCTCCTCTTCTTCTCCAATCACTGACTTCTGACATTATCAATGACCTTATTCGTTGACGTCTCTCACTATGGTAACTGGTGTTGGGTTAAATGTTGCAATTTTATAGTAGGAGGGATTTAGACTCCTGTCTGACCATATATTATATATGAATGTATTTGAGTAAGAATTAACACACAGACCATAACACTTATGAAAAGGTAAACATGATGCATTTGCTTTGCAAATGTTAACTTTCTAGTTTAATCATCATTTGCTTGTCTTGTTTTTCCCTGTCCTGCAGTCAATGAGAGCTCAGACGACCCTCTGATACAGAAATACCAAAAAATTGCAGAGAGAAAAAAGAGGAGGGAGCGATGGAACACCCTGTCTCAGCTGGACTACTTTAAGGTGTGGGGATTCCAGAAGTACTTCATCTTCAGACGCAGGTAAGACAAGAATATGGTCACGTAAGATGTGAAATAAATGAGATGCTTGACTGATTTGATTTGAACAGAGATTATATTTTATGCAACTTACATGTATCATATCTTGCTTGAGCTTTCAAATCAGAAGTGCTGTTGTTTTCACACGGATAGGTTGCAACTTAGTCAGTTTGCTGCAACTTAAATGGTAAAAATATGCCATTGGTGTTGTCAGAAAATTGAGGAATATTATTGATTCAGAATGATTATGCTTCACATCTGAAGGTACATTTTCCTAAAAGTAAAAAAGTGGTCTTAGGGTATGAAGAGAAGCAGAAACAGCAATATTTGAATGGATTAATATTGATGTTTAATCTTAATGACGTACCCTATAGTTTGCTGATGGGTGGGCTGGCTGTGCGCAATGTTGTATTTGGGACTCCAGACGTGGAACAGTTGGCAAAGGACATACACTGGGCCACAGGACACTTCAACCCTGAAACTTACCTGGACCAACTTGCAGGAGTTGAAATGGTTGACAATCCTGACAATCCGTAATACCGGTATCCTGTACTACCGGTAATTAAATATGCATACTCCAAGGTGTATGGCCAAAATGAGTTCCTACATTTTATTATCACCCGTTAGGAACAGTTTAATGATGGTTGGAGCTGGTCTATATTTTCATCTATGCTAAAAGAGGCAAAGTTACAACTATTACTAATTTAATTTTAGTCTCAAGTTTAATGATCATTAGGCACATGCAGTGTTTAGGCTTATCCATTTGAACGTGGAACATTTAACAAGCAATACATTGCTGTAGATATATTCTATTAAGATACTCTAGACTTCAAAGTTATTTATATTTGTTAGGTATGTAGTGCATTGTAAAGCATATCAGTCCAGGCTGCTATGATGGGATGTTGCTTAGTACAAGATGAAGAAAGACTGAGAAAGCTTTCTGCAAACAAATGGCCCTCTTTGACCCAAGGGGCAGTTTTACTTCCTATTTAGTTTGCTGAAGGAGGTATCTATGGACCATATTGGTGCTTTGGAAGGAAGGTTATAATTGAGGTTCATCACAAGCATATATGCTGTTAATGTTTTATTATAAAAAAATTTTTGATGGTTTTTGGTCATTTACAAAATGTAGTTGGAGACAGCTGAGTATATCCTGCATTTTATGCCCTTTAAATACTTTTGTTTTTAATCCATCCAAAAAAAAGGCTTGTTTGAAGGCGAGAAAATGTAAGAAGTGCATAGTATACTGGCTCCAGAGATTGTATTGAATAGGACATGATTGTCACTGTACTTTCAAATTTGAAGGGTTGACAGACAAGATATCGATCCTGAAAATAGAATTCTATTCTTACACAAATTTTCAAATTCAAGAGAAATAATTACTAAAAGATGAATTTATTTTACTACAAATATAACGTATGTATAAACAGCCGTGGCTTGTTATTAGTTAAGTAGTCAAGTAGATGTACATTGTATACTGGGGACACAGTGCTCAATATTCTAACTGATGCTCACTTATCACAAGTGGAGAAACCTGGTCACTGTGCAGTATGTACTTATGAAAAGGGACCAAACAGTGCAAAGAAGTATGACCATTAGAGCTGCACTTCTTTGGATCTTTGCTGATTTCACCTGTGCAATGTTTAGTATATGCAATGTTTGTATAAGTATGTGATGCCACCATTAAATTTCTCCTAAAATGCTTCCACAAAATTTGTTTTTCATTAATCTTTCTAGATATTAGGTTCAAACGTGTGCAGCATGATAAGTCAAAATACATGCACAAGAAATACAAGTACTGATACTAATTTAATACACCTGTTTTGCCCTCCCACATTTTAGTGATCCAGTAGATGATTAAATGAGTAGATAGGATCATTGTTGATGTTAGGTAAGGGAACAAGGGTCTATCACACCAGATACACGCTCCTCCGCAGCGTCCGCTAGCACGCTATTAAAGCCACATCTGGGCGCGCGGCGGGGTCCCCAGAGCAACACAGTGCGGATTTGTGTCCTGGGGCCGAGAACGCATTTTGCGCAAAGCATGCTGGGTAGCAGAGTGAACTGTCCTGGGGACGAGAGTTTGTGGCGCGGGCGTGGAGAATGCCAAAACTCCCTCCGTGGCTAAGTTCCTTCCGCGACTAACTCCCTTCTGGGCAAATGTAGAGGGATAACGGTACACCCTCATAGCGTCACCAAATGAGGTACTTTGTAAAGGTCCGTTTCATTTGGTATATATTACCATTGTGACAGCATTTTATACCCCAAAATAGGAATCTTGCGTCTTGTTTTAGGTCCCGATAGTAGAAAGAATGCAGTGTACATGTATTCAGATGGCCGCCGTGTAACGTTACGTACTAGCGAGCGCGCACGACAATACCGCCAGAGTAGAGTAGGTTATCATAACCCTTTAGAAAGCGCAAAGAAAACAAAAACGACAGATTTGCATTAAAGAAAGTTTATTTTCCATAGCCTGGGCTAAGCCACGATCTATAACCTATGGCTTCTCCACGGGCGCTGGGGACGAGCGTGCACCAGATAAGGGCTGTCCCGGACAGCATTTCCAACAGTGATTCCTCCGTCAGTTCTTGAATCGTTTGTCCTCATGTAGTGTCCACTCTGCTTATTGTGAAACACTCGGTCCCCTTCACTAAAGAACAAAGCAACACAAAATACAACCAAACATGTAAATAAACGTACTATGTATTTATATTCTGTCACCTTTTAAGAAAGCTCTAATAAGTCCAGAATCTAGGAATATTTTCGTGTCACAGCAGTGTCTACTTTGAATCCCTAAAGTTCTAGCCAAGAAACACAATATTTACCTTTGCAATCTTTTACATGTAGATAACTTTTGTACAGGTTAATTATCTTCAGGCTAGACTTCAGGGGCCTATAGCTATGTCTTCAGCTTCTAAGTTAAATGGAATGAAGATGTCACTGTATGAAAAACAGTACACTTACGCCATGAAGACTCCAAGAATGCCCAGCTCGCAGCAAGTGCCCAGCAGGTTGGGCCTCTCTCCTGGCTTGATGAAGTAGTTTTGTACCACAGCAGGGCGGATGAGGTCCATGATGATGTAGGCTGCTCTCTCTTCAGAGTCCTTCAGTTTCCTCAGCATGGTCCTGATGTCCTCTCCATATGTGTTGTGACCTGGTAAGAAGCAATCAGGTGTTTACACAGTTAAAAGATCCGAGGATGGCACTGCCAGTTTCCCCGCATACAACTTGTAAAGATACATGTATATATAAATGTACATTCAATCATCAATATGTAAATATCCAAAGTGATTCCTAAAGTGATGACTGGTCTTACCACCCCCTTCTCTTTGCGGCTTCATGACGTAATCTTCAGGACTTTTTATGGCCATCTGAACTGTCCGATCTCCTTCCAAACCCTGGATAAAGAATCAAATGTAGAATAAAGAAAGGGTCACTCGAGTTAAATTTGTCATTTTCTCTTTACATTACACTCACTTACATTGTGTATATAAACTATACAATACATGTTGTTTCAAATTTTGGTGAAAACACAATATCACTGATAACACAGGTTTAATGAATCCAAAAGGGTCACACTGTTACCATTTCAAGTGTGTATTGTCCAGTAAAGGTTGCCCTAACCCTGCTCACAGCCATTGGATCGTCCAGGAACTTTTCCAGCACACCTGGCTGGGCTAACTCCTGCTGGACTTTCTTGGTTCCAGCGAGGTGGTAGGATATACACGGGCACTTGATCGCCCTGGACCTCTCAATCATCATACGGGCATGCCATTCCTGTCGAACACAAAATTACAAATTTACTCAGTCCAACCAAGAGCAACATAATTATAATCCAATGAGTCTTATAATCTTTAAGTTAATAGCATACATGTACCTTACCTGTACCTTGTACCTTACCTTTTCAGTTGGATAGTGGTCAGGTAAATATCCGGTTCTAAAGTAGACAACAGCAACTTCGGATCCATGTCTAGAAATATATGTAAATGTAGTAGAAAGTGCTTAATAGAGTAAAATTATGTATGGCTCAAACAACAGAATGTGCATGATACTGCTGCAGCAACTATAATAATGCATCCATAACTTAAACACTCAGTCTGGTAGGTTTAAATTTGTTGCAGGGCAAGACTTCAAATATTCTGACTTGAATACTCACATGAAAAGTGTCTTGTCAGGTGTCAGCTCTGCATGCTCTGCGATCTGTCTCATGTTGTACCTTTTCGCTGTTATACCGGGGTGTCTGCAAAGAATTGACAGTACAAAGTACATGTTTAGTAAAGTCTAACTGGTGGATAAATGCGTGAAGCCTTAAGAACTTTCTACCAAACATAGTTCAGTTTGTGTATCATGGTATTCCAGAGCCCCTGTAATGCCTAAAATTTGTACATGTGAAAGGGATGTGCAGTGGCTAAGAGACAGGCATTTTTTATTCAGGTAATGTTTTCACTCACCTTTCCATCACTGTAAATTCTGACAGTCTCTGCTCATAGACATTTTTAGTTCTTTCCTCCTCTATCACAAACACTATGATGGCCCTGGTGGAGAAACATTCAATATTGTTTCTGATTTATTTGTTCTTTTCTTGTAAATAAAAGCAATAAAGAGAACAAAACATTCATGGAGTAAAACGTCTGGTGAGCTTTCATTCAAAGTAAAACATAGTCCAAAACAACAAAAACATGACAAAATGCAAGACTGTTTTCAATCAATTATCACTGTAGCCCTATTACATGTACAATAATTGTAGTTAACTTGAAATTTCTTTTCAATCTTTCGACAACTGTATACTATTACTACTTCAGGTAGAAAGGGGATATCATGATCAGAGGCTTCAGAATTGTATACACCACCATTATCCTCCCAAATTGTTTACTGTCAGCAAACTGTACAATACAAGAGTTGTGATTCCTCAACACCATCTGTGACATAGTAAATTTTGGCATTTTACCTTATCTGTCATTAACTTTAAAGGTAATAATTGTAAAGATTGAGGACTAACTTGTGTGATCCATACAGCTCCCATGCTGCCACAAAGCCGTCTACATTTGATTCCAAAGCCCTATTCTCTGGAATCTGGTGATTGTAGAATTAGATTTAAGAATGTGCTCAAATCCCTCCACATGCACCCCCCCCCCCCAAGAAAAATTTCATGTTACAAATGTTGGAACAAGTTTAAAGGACTAGTCTAAATATAACACTATAAGTCTTAGGACAGTACATGTATACAATACTTACATGCTTGCTGGCATCAACCACACCCAGAAGATTCAGCACAAGTCTACATGATATAAAAAGAGGTTACAAAGTTGGACAATCATTGGTACCCCTGTGCTGTGTGTACTAAGTACTTGATATCAACCTTTACCAGCCTAATGCATTCAGTGAAGAAGAAGTGAACATTTGTACACCTGGGCCAGGCCCATTATTAATGATCTGAGGTCATGTTGGGCATGCACAGGCAAAATTGTTATGATCTCTGTAAGCTGTAAATATAGAGAAAAACACCCCAAGAGTCAACTTTTGTACCTGGAGGGTAAACTGCCAAGTGTTGAAAATACATGTACATTCATTATGTGCTACAATGTAGTACTGGGGTACTACAAATATATAGGACACCTGATGATGCTTTAGTACCATGCATGGTTATGACAGCTCTTATTAATGAGCTCTCTGAAACAGTAACTGGTACTTTGAAAAACAAGGGCACCAATCGTTGGAAACACTTTGTAAGCACATGTCCATACTTGTGCACAGAGGCTATCTTTTCACCGTAGCCGGCTCCTCCAGCAGCCATAGTGTTGATCTCTGTCTGCTTCAGCTGGAGCTGTCTGCTGGCAGTCATTCCTTCTGTTCGTAGGACAGCATTATTGGTACTGTTGGTACCAGTAGTTTCCAACAGGTAGTCTGATCTGTGGATTCCAAGGCAGATAGGCTGGAATACAAAGTACATTTTGTTGATTGGTCATGTCAAACATGCCTGGTCTTCCAAACTCCATTCTTTGAAGCTAGAGAAAAGGTAGGAAATCCTCAACATGGTAATCTGAAACACTTGTGACTGTCATTACAGAATGTCTACATCTCCCATGCATTAATATTAACCCACCTCTATGCTTCACTACACTGAATGAAGTCTTTGGAAAGAATAGCCTGATAGCTTTGACTTTTTTGACATTTTGAAGTTATTTTTTTAAATTGTGCAATTTGAAAGCACACATGTAGGTGACAGATACTAACCTGAGTCACACCTTCCTCCATCACCTGTTCATAGATGTGAAACAGACCTGCGGTAAACTTGTCCGCCTTTACAACACTGAAAAAAAAATACTACCGGTAATTATGGAAGGCAACCAGAGACAGATCTGCATGTAGATCTAGCCGAAGATCCGTCTGCCAAGGCGCTATGCTCCCTGAGGATGCATGCAGCCTTGAGTGAGTAATTATGAATTTACTTCATCTGATAATCATACTAATGCTATCACGGTCATTGGCCTGTTGTTACAACTTTGGCTAATTCTACAGCAATTTATAGATGCTTGATGTAGTCATCCGGTGTCACACATTATGAGTATTTATATTAAGACAGTTCTACAAGCAAATCCTAGTGTAGTATACTGTATTACGCTAAAAAAATGAGTCTATTCTGTCACAATGGTTGGACCCTAACCTGCATTCTCCCAAGGCCTTAAGTCCCAAGGCTAAGGTATTTGCTGCGTGATAGCTCTACCGTGTTAGAATGTAGAAAGGTGAGTCTGTCACAATGGTTGGACCCTAACCTGCTGAGACATCTGGTCAGAAACTCCCTGTCACGGCTGACCCTGTGGACCAGTAGGTTGAAGTCCTCTTGCACTGCTCTTGCTTGGTCAAACAGGGCTCTGGGAGGGATGTACAAATGTACAACCATATCAAATACCGGCACAAACTGAGAGTGTACAAAAGCCCGCCCAGGGGCATGGCCAATGCCTCAAATACCAGAGCCACCACCTTAAATTCCAAATCACATAAGTGACCTGAACACTCCCCCCACCCTAGGTATACCATTCCCCAGTGGAATGCCCTGCCTGGCACAGTTGTGACGGTTCCCACCATTGAGTCGTTCTGTGCCATGCTGGAGGCCTATACGTGCTTTTGCCCAGGACCTCAACTTCCCTAGCCAGTACTTTCAGATGGGGTCATTTGACAATACCTTGGGAAGGGTGATGGTAGAAGTGTGAATGGAGAAAAGCAGTCCTCTTGATCATCTGTCAGAAAAGCCAGGCCCTGGAGAATTGCATAGTCCTTTGCTGTCTCAGCCAGACTATCCAAGGCAGATGGGTCCAATGGTAGGGGTACAACAGGCTCCATCTAACAACAGCTCTGCTAGAAACACCCTATACAGCCAAAAAACCTGGGAGCAAATCAAGATGACTGTGAATTAAGAAGGACACCGGTAATTGATCATCAGATGAACTGGTTAGACTGCTTAATTATGGCGAAAACAGCCAATTATAATAAGTTGAGCAACCTTGGTTGTATGTAACGTCATGTCAGCCAAACAAATATAGCCTAAGGGTGATTATTTTGAAGGTTAGGGCAGGTAAAATTGGGGTTATGAGTAGGTGTGTACTGAGGAGGTGCATCTAGCTGCACAAAAAAATATTTGGAGCCCTGGATAAATAAAAAAATAAATCACGTACCTTGGGAGTTGTGGAGAATCTGATGATGTCTGTCTTGGTGTGTAATAACCAGAATGAACGCCAATTCAACAGGTGGCAGAATCTAAAGCATTCATGGCCTTTTACCATGCAATTAAATTGTCTTAGCAACAATGGACTGGAATTTCTGACCCAGGGGCACGGACAAACCTTGAAGAAGGGAGTCCTTTATTGATAGACCTTACCAGTTACTGATACTAAAGTAAATTGAATCAAATTTTCAATCTTCATGCTTTATTCATACTAAAGTATTCTGAATGTTACAGACCATACATTGTGCAGGAGTATCACTTGAAATTGCCATGCCAGTTAGGCTACATGTATATAGACTAATTTTTAAAGCTAAGTAGTACTTAATTCCAATTACACTGGTGCAGAGAAATATAGCAATCTCACACACTATAGATGAGAGCTCACAGGGAGCCTGAGAGTTTGGACAGCACATCTCACATGCTTTAGAACACAGCTCATGGGCAGCCGGATGAGAGTTCGGACAGCACACCTCACAATTACATGCTTTAGACACAGCTCACAGACAGCCTCAGAGTAAGGACAGCACATCATGCATCACAGCTTAAATTTCTCCTAAAGCACTTCCACAAAATTTGTCACAGATTAATCTTTCAAGATGTTAGGTTCAAAAGTGTGCAGCATGATAAGTCAAAATATACATTGTATGTACAACAAATACTAGTACAAGTACTGATCTAATGCATTTTGGTGAATTCCAATAGATATAAATAAATGTAGATGATAGGTAAAGGAACCAATGTCCATCAGACTAGATAAGGGCTGTCCAGCACAGCATTCCCAACATAGACTCCTCCATCAGATCTTGAATTGTTTGTCCTCATGTAGTGTCCACCCTGCTTATTGTGAAACACTCTGTCCCCGTCACTAAAGAACAGAAAAAAATACAAGCAAACATGTAAATAAAATGTACCATGTTATAAGCTCTAAAAAGTCAGAGCAATTTAGAAATATCATAGCAATGTCTACTTTTAATCTCTAACATTCTAGCCAAGAAACAACAACCTTTGCAACTTTTTAGATAAATTTTAATTATCTTAATTATCTTATCTTATCTATCTAAAAATGTAAGATTTGAATGAAGTAGAAGTTATTGTATAAAAAAACAGTACATAATGTACACTTACGCCAAGAAGACTCCAAAAATGCCCAGCTCACATGAGGACCCCAGCAGGTTGGGCCTCTCTCCAGGCTTGATGAAGTAGTTTTGTACCACAGCAGGGCGGATGAGGTCCATGATGATGTAGGCTGCTCTCTCTTCAGAGTCCTTCAATTTTCTCAGGATGGTCCTGATGTCCTCTCTGTATGTGTTGTGACCTGGTAAGAAACAATCAGGACTGGTGTTTTACTCTTGATGTACACAGTTAAAAGAAGATCTGAGGATTTTCTACATGCACTGTGAGTTTCCCCTGCATACTTGTAAATAGAAGAAGATACATAAATCATTGTACAATCATAATATGTATTACATTGTACTAAATATCGAAACTGACTCAAGTGATGACTGGTCTTACCACCCCCTTCTCTTTGCGGCTTCATGACATAATCTTCAGGACTACTCATGGCCATCTGTACCGTCCGATCTCCTTCCAAACCCTGAAGGACAAAAACACTCAGGTGTTGAATTTGTCATCTCTTTACTTAACACTAACACTGTACACATACACTATACAGTTGTGTACATGTTGTTCCAATTTTGGTGAAAACACAATATTACTGATAACAGGTTTGATGAACCCACTGTTTTGCTTACCATTTCAAGTGTGTATTGTCCAGCAAAGGTTGTTCTAACCCTGCCCACAGCCATTGGGTCTTCCAGGAACTTTTCCAGCACACCTGGCTGGGCTAGCTCCTGCTGGACTTTCTTAGTTCCAGCGAGATGGTAGGATATACACGGGCACTTGATCGCCCTGGACCTCTCAATAATCAGACGGGCACTCCATTCCTGTGGAACACAAAATTACAAATTTACTCAGTCCAACCAAGTGATGTAATCGAATCTAACTCATGATCAAATACGACTCTACATACAAATGTATATGAAAATGTAGCTCACCTTTTCAGTTGGATAGTGGGCAGGTGAATATCCAGCTCTAAAGTAGACAACTGCAACTTCGGATCCATGTCTAGAAATACATGTACATGGAGTAGAAATAAGTGCTTAATACATTGTATAATGTACGGCTCAAACTATAGTATGTGCATGATACTCTCAGTTGATGCAGAAGCTATAACAATGCATACATCAATAGCTTAAACACTGGTAGGCTTAAACTTGTTGTAGGAAAAGATTTCAATAACTGTGACTTGAATACTCACATGAAAAGTGTCTTGTCAGGTGTCAGCTCTGCATGCTCTGCTATCTGTCTCAAGCCGTACCTTTTCACTGTTATACCGGGGTGTCTGCAAAGAGATGATGGTAGAAAATCTATGTTAGGAAAGGTCTTTTTGGTGGATAAATGTGTGAATAGGCAGAGCCTATAATGTTCTACCAAATACTGATTAGTGCATGGTATTGCAGAACCCAAAAAAATTTACATGTGAAGGGATTTGAGCACATTATAAAATCTAATGCTATAATCTCCAGATTCCAGAGAACAGGGCTCTGAACTCCCTTTTGACATTTTGCCTTATTTTCCTTGTCGTTTGATTTTTACACTCACCTTTCCATCACTGTGAATTCTGGCAGTCTCTGCCCAAAGACATTTCTACATCGCTTCTTCTCTACCACAAACACTATGATGGCCCTGGTGGACAAACATTCAAATGTCACAATTAATGAACAGATCTGGAGTAGAAATTCTGATGAGCTTTCTTTCGAAGTAAAAAGTAGGCCCAGGCCAAACCACTCAAAACATGAAGATGCAAGCCTGTTTTCAATCAACATCACAGTAACTGTAGCCCTGTTACTAGTAGTTTATTTGGAATAACTGTTGCATCCCTTACTTTTACACAGTTATCAATTTTGAATATGAATATTAGTACATGGGATGTCAGATTCTTCAGAATTGTATACAGCAACATTATCCTCCTATCCTAAGTTGATTTTCTTTCAGCAAACTGTACAAGACTTGTGATTCCTCTGCACCATCACATAGTAAATTCCCTGGTAAATTTGGGCATTTTTATTTTATTGTCATTAATTTTAAAGGTAATTCATTTTGGGCAGAGAGAGTACTAACCTGTGTGATCCATACTGCTCCCATGCTGCCACAAAGCCATCCACCTGGGAGTCCAGAGCCCTATTCTCTGGAATCTGGGGATCATACTATTAGCATTAGACTTTATAATGTGCTCAAATCCCTTCACCCCCCCCCCCAAAGAAAATTCATTATACAAATACAAACAATTTCAAGTGACTAAATATAACACCTGATAAGCTTGAGAGCAGTGCCTTCTTGTATTCAGTACTTACATGCTTGCTGGCATCAGCCACACCCAGAAGATTCAGCACATGTCTACATGATATAAAGAGGTTACAATTAACAAAGTTGGACAATCATTGGTACCCCTGTGCTGTGTGTACTTGATATCAACCTTTACCAGCCTAATGCATTCAGTGAAGAAGAAGTGAACATCTGTACACCTGGCCCATCAAATGATGTAAGGTCATTCAGGGCATGCACAGAGGCTCTGCAACATGTAAATAATATAGACGTGACACAGTGACCCCAAGAGTCAACTTTTGTTACGACAATTCTTTTTAATAAATTATCTAAAACTTTGAAAAACAAGTAAAGTGCACCAATTGCTGAGAGCACTTTGTAAGCACATGTCCATACTTGTGCAGAGAGGCTATCTTTTCACTGAAGCCGGCTCCAGCGGCAGCGATAGTGTTGATCTCTGTCTGTTTCAGCTGGAGCTGTCTGCTTTCTGCTCCCAGGACAGCATTATTGTTGGTACCAGTAGTGTCCAACAGGTAGTCTGATCTGTGAAGTCCTAGGCAGATGGGCTGGATATACCAAAAAATAATAATCACATTTAATTTTGTTGATTGGCCGTGTCAAACATACCTGGTCTAAGCACTTAGACATGTAGGCATGCATGTCAAACTCCATGTTTCAAAGCTATTAATCTGGTAATGGTAATCTGTTTTGGTTACTGTCATTACAGTGCATATTATATATGTCTCCCATGCATTACTAGTACTATTAACCCACATCTATGCTCTATCACACTGAACAAAGTCTTTGGAAAGAATAGCCTCATAGCTTTGACTTTCTAAAGTTTATTTTAAAAAAATTAACATTTTAAGGTTAACATGTAGGTGATACATGTATTACAAACCTGAGTCACACCTTCCTCCATCACCTGTTCATAGATGTGAAACAGACCTGCTGTGAAGTTGTCCACCTTTACAACACTGTATTTGAAGAAAAATAGTACCGGTAATTATACAGATTTTCTTCATCTGATTACTTGCTAACACAGTCATTGGCCTGTTGTTACAACAACTGTATGTTGTAGCAACTTGTAGATGCTAGACAGTCATCCAGTGTCACACACAGAACAGTTCTACAGCAAATCCTTAAGTTTTACACTAGAAAGGCATTCTCCCAAGGCCTTACATCCCAAGGCTAATGTATTTGCTGCTCTACAGTCAGGAGAATGTACAGTAGAAAGGTGAGTCTGTCACAATGGTTGGACCCTGACCTGCTGAGACATCTGGTCAGAAACTCCCTGTCATGGCTGACCCTGTGGACCAGTAGGTTGAAGTCCTGCTGCACTGCTCTTGCTTGGTCAAACAGGGCTCTGGAATGAATAATGTGGATTATCTTATCAATAATAATCACCCAACAGCAAAGACCATTTGATTTATTTCCAGCATTTGGGGATCACGGTAATGTTTACAAAAACCAAAAACAACCCCCCTCCCGCAGCCACAATGTCCCAGGGGTTTCCAGGAAAGGGTCTGACTGGGCATAGAAGTGTGTCAGCAAGCTGGGAGACATTCTTACACTTGGACATATTCCATGCCTGTGGATAAAATGCCTGAATTCCTAGAATTCTTGCAGACTGCACACAATACTGTACCATTAGGCTCGCCCATGAGGCATCGCCAAAAAATGTTCTGCATCAAAGTCAGAGATAGTCTAGCACTAGTATCTAAAACAATTCCAGTACCTTGCAAGTTGGTTCAATCAAGGTCAAATATAATATATAATGTCCTTGGTTCAATGCAATAGTCTAATATCCAAAAATGCGTGACACGAATGCTCTAAGAACTGGCAGTGGCCCCTTCTCTCCAAAAGGAGAAATACCCGCCTCACCACCTTTGATAAGTTAATGTGTTCAACCATCAAATACAGTTGCAAACTGTACTTGAGCCCAGGGGCATAGCCACCGCCTCAAATTCCAGAGCCACCACCTCAAATTATAATAATGTTAAAATGCCAGAACAAACACAAACACTCATTCCCCTCCCCCCAAGGGGGGAATGTAAGGGGGAGGGAGGTTAAATAGGGGGGGGGGGGAAGGTGGAATGCCCATAGCTGCTATATGCCGAAAGGCGGTTATACTGGCTATACAGATAAAGACTTGACAGGGTTCTCTCCAGGATTTTTTCACAGCAGAGGTCAGGTACAGAAGGGCAACTTTCGCTGCGAAAGTCACGCCCTGAGTCCCCAAAACATAACCACAGTAGGGGCATGGCATTCTTCCCGTAAAATTTTGAAACTCATAACCACCTGAGATACTATTTCTCACTTAATGAGGGACAGACATTGTGAAGTAAGGTTTTCCCTTTGCTATAGCTTCATTCTAAGGTTATAGTTTCATTTTTTGCAAGATTTAAGAAGGTTCTTCCCCCCAAAACACCCCTATGCTGGTTGAAAGACAGCAGAGGGGTCCAAATCACAGCATAGTGGGTCCAAATCACAGAATAGGGGGCCCCTATTCTCAAAAGGCCTCACGGGCGAAAACACTGTTTGGCCATACCTTGGTACAGGTGATGGTAGAAGTGTGAATGGCGCAAAGCTGACAAGGTCAGGGACATCTTCTCGATCAACTGTCAGATATGCCAGGCCACGCAGAATCGCATAGTCCTTTGCTGACACAGCCAAACTATCCAAGGCAGATGGGTCCAATGGTAGGGGTACAACAGGCTCCATCCAACAACAGCTCTGCCAGAAACACCCTATACAGCCAGAAACCTGGGAGCAAATCAAGATGTGAATGAAGATGTCATATAAGCCTTGAATACTGGTGATGGATGATCGGATGAACTGGTTAGACTGGTTAATTATTGTGTCAAACTTACTACAATGAAGGTTGGGCAACAAGGTTAGGCAATTAAATACAAGGCTCATTTGCAGGTTAGTGCGGGTAAAATTGAGGTTGTGCAGGTATTTCTGATGTCTTCATGCCCCAGGTTATGAACTTAATTGTGCATACATCAAAAGGTAACATTTACTTTCTATTCTGTTTCTACATGCAAAGCATTATTCCCTTACCTACTTGGTTAGTATTCTTTGTTTACACTGCTCTCGGTCAGAGGTTAATGACCCCACCCCAGGGGGGGGGGGCAGCAACCCTTGGCCGCCAGGAGCTCGATTTAGTCAGGCTAGTTGGCAAGTAATCAGGAGATGATAGAGAATGTTTTAAAAGTTGTGATGTCCACTTTTGGAGTATATTTGGATGATGAAGTTAAAATTTCTCTGATGCAGGTGATTTTCAATCAAAGCTAAGCTGCACAAAAAAAAGGATTTTGACTTTAATTGAGCCAAGAATAAAAAAAAAAAAATAAATCACATACCTGGAGAGTTGTGGAGGTGATGTCTGCCTTGGTGTGTAATAACAGAACGACAATTCAAGTAAACAGGTGGCAGAACCTAAAGCATCCATTGTCATTTATTATGTGTAACTAAAATTGTCTCTTAGCAACAATTGTCTGGAAATGTATTACTATGACAGTGTAGATCAAACCTTGAAGATGGGAGTCACTTATTGACCTCTCCAGTAATTGATTCTACTCAATAATCATACTTATTCTGAATGAAAATGGAAGTAACATTAGAAAATAAATTTGACACTGAAGACAGATAATAGTAATACTCAAATCCCAAGTAGCACATCATTAGACAGTTCTAGGACCTGACATCCTGTTGTCTACGCTACCATACCATCAATTTGGGCCTTCGTCTTTTTCTACAACAATGGACTGCCATACACCTCCAAAGTGTTCAGCTGGGTCACAGAACAGTGGTAGGACCTTATCCCGGTCATTCAGAACGTTTGCCGACTTAGGCAACTGTTCTAGTGGTTCTTTTTGTCTTCTCCTTAGGGTCCTGTTTGTTTTGGAGAGTAGTGTTTGCTGCCCATGTCTGTGAGTACATGACAGGGTCACTCTGCATGTGCGGGTATCATCAATGACATCTTCATCCAACAATGTCACTTCTTCAGTCTCTTCCTCAGTTTCTTCCTCACTGGCCACTGTACTCTGCTGTATGCTGCAGGGAATCCAAATTGGCAGATATTACATTTTGTAGATACTGATTGATATTGAATTCTTATTCATAAATGTAAAGACACACAATTAAATGACTTTTGTTTACAAATTAATGCATACATTACATGTATACAGTCATTAAGTATGATATAATTTTCATTTTTACTACGTTGGAGTATATTGTCTATCTGTAGTCCAACACAGTCCCTGGGGGATACAGCTCCTTATTATTTCAAATTGACATCAATATTAAAAATAAACAAGCATCTAAAAGATTCACGTACATTGTACATAATTTGTACAGTGTCACATGATACTCACATCATATATCATATTCCACTCTTAACCATGGCGACTCTTCAACTCGAATCAAGTGTATTTGCTGATAGATAAATATATGCCCTCTTGTGTGAGGGATATCAGCAAATGCACCCCATTCAACTTTTTCATGAGCTGCCAAGGCTACTCCACTCCATACAATATTTTACTTACCAAAACTCCTCTTGTTCCTGGCGAGGGATTTTTGTACCATCCCTAATTTCCCTATCATCAACCTTGGGTTCGAAGTCATCACAAACACTGGGACTTGCATCTGTGGACAGTCCTGATGATAACCAGTCCTGGTCAGGGGAGGTCAATGACCTCGGCAAATGTTTCAGCTTTAGTTTGCCCGCCTTCTTGAGTTTCTTCACCTTCAGTTTTAATGATTGCAGGTTGTGCTTATGCTGGCTGAGACTCTCACACTGTCTGTACCTGAAAAGCAAAGGGTATGGTGTACCCTGGGTGTCAGACTAGTATAGACCCCTTCGCCCGCCCGGGGGAATTTGGCCGGGGTCCCCCAGCCGGAAAGCCACGTACTGAATCGAACGCTTTTCGAACGAGTTTTCTTTGCAGAGCGTATCACTCCGCCGTCCATAGCAACGCCGTTGCTAAGGACGACGTTTTCGCGGGCGGCGGGATGAAATTTCATCCGAGTTGTTGACAGCCGATTACATCACCAGTTTCGGCCTCTGCATCAAGATGGCGGTACGTATCAGACGTGTATATCATGGGCTCTCCGTAGTATTCATATTTGAGGGGTATTCTATCAGTTTTAGTGTAGTTTTGTGATTAAACTTGGTGCACAGTGAAATGAACAAAATGGCCGCCCTGGACTGATCTGAATTTTCGTCTTATTTGAATTTGGGGGGAAACCCGTTTCGCCCTCGATTTTGCATATGACGATATGTGGATAAAATGTGTTGAACCTTTGGCTATCTCCCATTATGAATATCCTGTTGGTGCGAAGTCTGGATAGGTTTGCAATTTAATGCCAACTAGGGTCCCTTTTTTGGCTAATTTTATGGCTAAAACTCATAGTTTGTCGTTTGATTTCATTTCAGACATTGTTGAATAATTTGCGTATATGTGCTTCATTTCTTGTAAACATCATGTTCGTGGTAAAATCATTTCCGATGAACTAATCTAGTCTAAGTTTAGACCCAGACTCTTAGTCGTTAGATCTTTACAAGGACAGATTCAATTGTAAATTTTGAAGTTAACGTTGTAGTTGAGTCTGATGGATCACGAACTTCGTAAAAGAAATCATCCCTTCTGTGTGTGTTTGTGCAAAAAATTCCCGCCAACTTAATCACGTGATGTCTGGTTGTCATACAAGAACAACAAAGCTGCATGACTGCTGCAAATTGTTACAATGACTTGTCATAGTGTCTAAAGTTACAGCAAGACAAGCATGCATGTACTACCATATCTAGTGATTGATGATAAAAACAGTGCACAATGTACATGCTTAGGCAGCTTGTGACATTTGTAGAAATTATAATAAATGGTTGAGCATGTATATCATTGATTATTGAAATAAAACTAACGTTCATTTTAGTATTGAACTGAGAAAAATGTGTGAAGGGGATTCTTTTATTTCTGTTTCAGATTATCATAGGCTTCACAGTCTAGATTGGTAAGTATCTGGAAAACCAAGGAGGTTTAAAATGTTTAAACCGCCTTGGGCAAACAATGTCACCCTCTCTCCTGGCATTTTTAGAAAATTATTACTAAAATTTAAAGAAGGACAAGGACAAAGTGGGACTGTGCTCAAGTTACAGTCACATTAACAGCCCCACCTGACACTTTTAAGCACAACCAATACAAATATATAACTAAGAATAAAAGTGAAAACAAAAGTGTGCACTAACGTTATATGTTAAGAAAATTTCAGGAAGACCCTAGCCCCCAAAATTTGCCTCAAGTAGCATTGCACCAGGTTTCTTGTAAGGTTGGAGAACTGTTTTTTGAAAGTAAACCAATACTTCTTGTGGATGATCTTTATGTAGAAATGTTAAGTTCAAGAAAGGATTTGAATGTAAAAGTCAAAGTAATGTACTGATTATGACACATTCTACTGTGGTTGGACTCTTAAATGATTTAGTAAACTTTATTTTGGTTCACAAAAGTTCTAACACCAAACATAGTTTAATGTTATACTATAGATATTGTGATATTATAGAATCACTTCATTGGCAAGAGGTAACTCTAAAAAATATGATCAAGAGAATGAAGAGATGAAGTCTATTCAGTCTTGTTTTGCTTCTATGCTAAAAGATTTAAAGGATAGTATTAATTCTGGCCCCTGGTCTTTCTTTTTATATATGAATACTGTGATTCATTAAGAATCCTCCAAATTTATTGATAAATTCCAACCTTCTTGCATGAAATTGTTAACCTGCATAAAACTGCAACCTCCCTGCATAAACCTGTTCCACATTTCTAAAGAAACAAATCCTGTTTGGAATTTTTATTGTTGTGTTAACTATGCAAAAGTCTGAAATTTCTTTTTCTGATTTTGAATCTTTGGACATTACTTTGCCTTTCTTAAGGATGAGACAAGCCATAGTAGCTCTAAGTTTCTGAGGTGACTTTTCACTACTTCCCTTATTTTCTTTATTGTCTCTGAACTCCACTGTAGTTATCCTTTTCATATGACAAAATCTGAGTTGATTTATTCCTATAGCCAATCTCCTGATTTAATGTTACTGGAAGTCCCTGTGGGTGGAATGGAACTTCTATACAAGCTAGCTGTACAGTCTAAATCTAAATTACTTATTTCTTCTATGCCAACTTCAACATTTGATTCTGAATGTTCTAATTTACTCCATATTGATCAAAATCAGGAAATGCATGATGATTCTGATTCAGAAAAGACTTTTTGATAGTGAGGATCAGGATGTTAATTTTATAGATGACATTTACATAGGCAGCTTGTCTGCATTGGATAACATTTCAGATTCAGAATTCTCTGATGTTGATTAATGAGTGAATTGGGTTTGGTGTCGTATCTTATTTACATTTTTTAAATTCTTCCACCTTGCAGGTAAAAGCCACACCCAGTGGGATTGTCACCAGCAGGACACCAGGATGTTATATTGTTTATTTAGCTTGAGATTATGGATATATATATAAGATGTATTATGTATTGAGATCTTAATTTCCATCTATTCTGTTTATTGTAATCTTAATACAATTTGGGATCATGTTTAATAGTCGATTCAGCATTCAATGTCTACTGTAACTTTTGAGCATGTGTTAAGTAATATATGTACTGTAAAAGATGTACTATGTATACATGTAATGATCCCAAGTATTTGATATCCCAGTCCACAACAAAATGTGCATCATCATCATCATCATCAAAATGTACTACTTTGTTTTTTTGTTTGGTAATGAGATAAAGGTTGAAGCAACGTTAATGGCTCTTGGGTAATTTTGTGTATAATTGTTAGGATGTATGTGAGAGAGTTATGTTTAGGGATTTGATAACACCCAGCACTTTTAGAAATATGCAAATGCTTTTGTGTAAAACTAGGGACATGAGGACCTGTTATCTTATTATAGTAAGCAGTACACATGGACTATACCTGTAGATTGGATAACAGATCCAGGATAAACTTACCCATAATCAGAGCATGCAATGTACATGTTGCACTGTCCTGACTAGGTACCAGAAGCGTTGGGTTGTGTCCATAGGCTACTTTTTAACTAAGCCAGCAGGTCGATAAATGTAACTTTTCTTAAATAACTACTAGTATTTAAACCCAGTGCCATTCAAATCGAGAAAAACGGATACAATAATTATTCTTTGAATTCTCCCCAATCATGAATCAATGTTTGAGGTATTCTAGTTCTAATGGTCCGCTTGCTCTAATTAGATGTGCGTTTTTCAAAGGTCAGGAAGCTACGAGAGTATAATGTTTCCTCACGTTTAGGCAGTCGCTGGTTTCGAGTTTTCAGATCGGCCTATCTATCAAGGGACCACAAACATATATTCTGCGTGCAAAATAAAAGAACCTGTTTAGATATAAGATGAATTAACACCCAGTGTAGTCTAACTAAACGTTGTTTAGACGTAGGTCGACAATAATTTAGATTTACTAGCGATGTATGGTCATGTATAGGGCATGTAGGAGAGGAGCGCGCTCCGTAGAACACACGTACCTCGCCGGCCGCGGCGCCAGGGATGCGCGTTCTATTTGGGGAAAAATTCTGCTTTTTCCCGTAACATGGCCTCACGAAATTTCGGGGGAAACCCGTTTCGGCCTCGAAATCAAATATAAGTCAAGCACCATCAGAAAGTTTACGATTTGCTCTTTCTATTCCAACAAATTTCCTGTTGGTGCGAAATCTGCATCAAGGCGAAAATACTCAGGGAAATTGCACTAAAATTGCCTGCCTGCTCCCGTGACATGGCCTCACCGAATTTGGGGGGAAACCCGTTTCGCCCTCGAAATCGTCTATAAGTCAAATACCATCAGGAAGATTAAGGTTTGCTCTTTTTCACCCAACAAATTTCCTGTTGGTGCGAAATCTCCATCAAGGTGAAAATACACGGGGAAATTGCACTAAAATTGCCTAATTTTAGGTCATGATATCAAAAGGAGATATCATCTCGGCTCAAAAATTCATGGGGAGCAAATAAAGAAGTCTAAATATTATGAATAAGTTACAATAAGGAAGTTATATGATTGTATAATCTAGCGGTAAGCTTTCTTGTGAGGCGAGTCGACGCCCGGAGCCGTGGAACGGACTACTTTCTCTCGCGGAAGGAAAAGAGAAACGCATAGAACTCTCGACGTGGCTTTCCGGCTGCCCCGTAGCGGTAATTTAGATAGGCGGGCTAAGGGCTCTTGGCTGCCGAAGGAAAACGGCTAACGGCCCGATACTAGTCTGACACTCAGGGTAGGTATGGTCAAGGACACTGTCCTTGGTATGGTGTTGATCCAAATCAAGTCAAGTCAAGTTTATTGCGAAACAAATGCATCGGGTACACCAATGGCAAATAAAACCTTACCAACAGATCGTCCACGCTTGAATACGGGGTTAGTATACGGAGGTTCTATCATAAAATGAGACACAGAAAATATAGATCATTGCGTTGTGGAAACGTAAAAACTACATCAACATCTATAAGATATTATCTACTTACAGTTCATCAAACTTTTGTTCTGAGATCGGGTCCATTTCGGCTAGTTTTCGCACATTTCTCGGTTGTCGTTACACAAAACCAAGATCAAATCGACCGCCATCCTCGTCCTGCCTGGAAGATAAATGTTTGTGATGGTGAAGGTACCTTAAGAAGTGCCTGTAAATTTTAATGATTCATTTGGATGATTAATCAATAAAAGAACACAACTGGTACCAAATTACGTTATAATAATTAATTAAATAATTTGACTATCAAGTTTTTAAACAATTCCCATTTTTTCTCTACATAATGCCTAAGAGGGTGATTCTTTTCTTCAGGCACCTAGAATGTTCACATGAGGCTGCCCCGTGCAACAAAGCCAAGTGACATTCCAAGATGGAGGCTGTTGTGTTGACAACTGAGACAAACCAAACCATGTAGAATCGGACAGATTGCCGCTCTTTACTTCTATATCTGACCACAAGGAGAGTGGGGGTAGGTATAGGATACCCTCTGCTGTCGTTTTTCGTCCATCTTGACGTTTTAGATGCTTTGTCGTCCTTGCATGTTCGCTGTTTGCAGTCTTGTTTATGTGAAACTTCAGTTTGGGTAGACCGCCTGCGATGGGAAGGGGGAGGGGGGCAGACCTGTGTCCAAGTCAGTTCACATGCTGTATATGTTCTTGTGCACAAATGACAATGGAAAGAGGAAAGTCCTTTCGGCATGAGTACAGAGAAAATAACTATGCATCTTTACATCCTTAAGAGATACCAGTGATTGCAAAGGACGCTTATAGAAAGAAGAACCAGACTTGCATGCAACATAAATTTGCTTTGGTGTGTAAAGTATCATATTGGAAATTGTTTGTGACAATATATTTACACTCAGCCTGTAAGTTGGAACCGCATTGTGGAGTCTGTTCTCTCAACTTCTCTGTAGCTGCTTTTGTGTAATTATTAAACATATAACTCCTGTACATTTGTGGCCACATTGTAGATACAGTTCCCTGTAACCACATATATGTGAAGATATGTAAATATTGTACATTTGGGAATGCATCTACATTGTATAGCAGTGACACCTGTGCTGCAGTGCAATGTGAACTAGTCAGAATTGCCCTGAGGAAGGTGACAGACGGTCACCGAAACGTTGGCTGTGAATAAAACTTACCTTACCTTAGTTACGTAGGAATAAAACACTTGGTTGTATAAAAAGAGTCCTTTTACACAGTGACTTACCAACCTGATGAAACTATTCACGGACAACTGTATCTTTTTCTCCCAACAGCTTGTTACATATTCTAGCACAAAGAGGACTGGAGAGTTGAGACCATGTCCACCCCTGCCTCCTCCTCGGGCATGTCCTCCCTGAAGACCCAGGAGGTCCTGCCTGCCCTCAGACAGATGATGAAGAACCTGGAGCCCAACATCCGGGCATCAGGGTCCATGGACGCTGCCGAGGACCTCATGTTACACCTGGAGGAGAGGGACCCATCCTTCCACAGGTGTGCTCAGGTTATCTCCTATGATGAAGGGTGGATACGGTTGGAATAAATCTAAGTAGTTCCCATTCCACAACACCACTATACCTACTACATGTAACTACATGTATGCCCAAATGAGTAGATCAAACTTCGTTCCCAGTAAAACACAACATTGGGATAATGAAAATCATGGTTGGGCATAATGCAAAACTGCATCAATGACAGCTGTGAGATGCTCAACAGTTGCTTAGATGTCACCTCTCATTTTACTTGTAAATAGTTCAGGTATCAAGTATAGAGTGGTCAACATTATCAGATATACAATGTACCTCACTGGTTTAATTTTCTCGATGTACGATGATGATGATAATGGCGTATCCTGAGTATGGAGACTATAGAGTAAATATAAACTAGTTTTGGTTAAGATTCTGTTGTCTACTACTGCTTGTAAGAATTGTATTCTGTTCATTATGTTGTATAGATATACTCTGTTGTTTCTTCTGTGTCAGGTATGAGTTTGTGAAGCTCATTCGAAGCAACATAGAGGAGTCCCTTGGTCCCCTGATGGATGAAGAGATAGAGAAGTACGCGAGAAGTGGTCAGGCGTACGACACAGGGCAGGACACTGTGGTGCAGACCATGGTAGCACACCTGGTCAACTCACCCGCGTAAGTACTTAATACTAATAATAGTACCCACAATAGTATACACATGTACATGTGTTTAGATGCCAAAATCTCTTGTTTATTTTGTACAGATTATTCTCCTCCACGTTGAAAAAAAGTTAGAATTTAAGGAAGAAATTTATCAAGCAATGCCACAAGATGAAACTTATCATAAAAGAAAATTAAAACAACAAGAGTTGATTTTCCATGTATAAGTGTTGTGTTTCCTGTTTCCCAACCGACCCTAGAAGTAGCCTTTTTCTGTAAGTGGATCCCTGCAAGGGACATAAATTTTTCAAGCTGATCGACCTTTTCTAGCTCCATGATCTGACACCTGCATGTGGTGAAACGTTGTACATGTATAATCGGATTTGAAAGTGTTCTCATGCAACTTTTACTTTGTTAAACTGTATATTATGTATTTGTATAAGTTGGATCACCAGAGATCGCCAAAGTCTAAAAAAAAAAGAAAGAAAGAAAAGATAATCCCTACTTACTGACCCTGATTTTCTTCAGGACTGAAACAGGACACACATTTTTTTCTGAGACCTTAAGTGGCCTTATACAGGATGCATCCAGTTCACATTGTACATCTTTTGTTCATTTTCCCTGGCTGTAGATATAGCAATTTGACGCAGCAGCTGATGGTGGAGACGAAGTCTGCGGTGGACACGCTGACGAGGGAGTTCCAGGAGGAGCAGGAGGCGCAGCAGGCGCGGGAGAGTCGTGTGGAGGGACCCGGATTCCGCAGGGCGCCCAGCTTTGGCTACCTCAGCCAGTCTAGTGATAACGACTCCTGTGGGTCATCTCTCAATAATGTAGGTTTACTACTGAGAACACGTCAGCAGAACGTACTGTGCCTGTACAAACTCTCTAGTTTTCATGGTTTTTGTAGGATTTTTGGTCAACGTTGCATCAGAATTTTTCCAACATAACATTTGGAAACTACCGAAGTGTTGACCAAATATGACGGTCACCTTATATGAGACATTTTGCCGAAGTGCTATGCACAATACATTACGAGTTTCTCGCAGGTACAGTACGTTCTGCCGATGTGCAGTTACTAAGCATTTATAGACATTTTTTCACATGCTACATGCTGGAACTACAACTTAGTACAAGACAAATCACAGTCAGTCTAAAAAGACTCTGACATTAAACTGTGCATTACAACGTTGGATGATGTAGCTCCTTTACAAGTGAATGGCCGCTGGAACTACTTGTTACAAGATGTTGTTTTGTATATACATTGTACATACATGTATATGGAGAAGTAAACATATATCGCTCAATATCCATTACACATTGTTTTGCAGAGTGACTTCATGTTTCCCAACCAGAAAGAATTTGAACAGATTGGAGAAAAAATGGACCAACGACAACCTGTACAGGTAAGGGCTGACTACATGTATGTCTTGTACATGTATACAGATACAGTATTTACTTTCTGCAGCCTTCCTAACTTTGGTTCAAGGGAATTAAAAATTGTATGGCAAAAGAAGATATACGATACCAATAGTCATACTACTTACTAGTGTCACACATGGCATTACAATCAGTGTCAGCATGTTTTTACCCTATGCTATTTTCTTCTTACAGACCAGAGTTGAAGCCATTGAGCAGCTTGGCCGTATCCCCCCCACAGAGGTTTTGTCTAGTGACAACTGGAGTCAGCTGAAGAAAGGTCTGATGGATGCTCTGGGGGATGCAGACACAGAACTGGCGGTTTGTACCAGTCCTCCATTTCATACCTTCCAGTCTTTAGTACATTGTTGTTTTTTTCAATATGTGAAATGTGGGAACTGTATGGGCATGACAGTTGTTGTCCAATTCTAGTTGAATGACTTTCTGCTTCAAACTAGTTCTACAGGTACTTTATCAAGACCAACTTTCTTTTTCCTCCAACACAAAGCGACAATGTATTTTGTATGATATTTCAGGACAAGAGTCTGAAGCTCCATGCTCGCATGTTCTCATCATCACAACACAGTATGAACAGGGAGGTCTACACAAGTCTAGGTAAAGAAAATTCTTAATGTCATCACTGCTATTAACATAGGAAACTAATCATTTAATGTATATTCCTTGATAGTGATATGAGCGTACGTGGCATACAAACACTACATTTGTACATACGCTAACAAGAAAATATTTGTGTTTTTTAGTGGAGCACTTGAACATGCAGTTTACCTACAAGGGACAGAAGGGAGACCTGAAGACTGGTCTGGATGTCACAAGTCCCAGTGCCTGTAGACTACTCCGCAGGGTGAGAATGAATCAGAGACTATACTTGTTTATTCAGTGATGAATTTTTGAAGCTTTGCAGCAATAGATCCCATTGTTTGCAGCTTGCATTAACTCTTTTTTCTTTCTGATATCCAGTTCCGCCTGATGAATGAGTTCATGTGTGTGGTGCCTTCCTACTGGATCCGCTGTCCTGACAAGTCAGTACACACCACCATTCTTTTACTTTTAAGACTCTTATGTATGGTATTAGTACAATAATCAATTCACGGTGATAACTGTTGAACCAAAGCAGTTTACGTAACTTGCAATCATTGACATGAAAATGCCATTTCTAGAAGTACAGCATAAGTTTTGCACAACACGCTCATGTTATACTCACACATCCTTGTCTTACACTTTTTGTTCTGGACAGATTTTTGGAAGAAGTTGTGGACAGCACATTGTACCTGTTACACACCCACCCCACCAAGGCCCTAGGCGGGGCGGAACCCCTCACACCTGTACACTATCTGGCCATGCTGGACAAGAAGGCCGGCTGGTTCAAAAAGTGGATGGTCAGTACAATATATCAGTGATGTATACAATAATTATTATGTTTACTGAAGGAAAACATATTGCTTTTGCTCTGTTTCCTCTTCTTCTCCAAACAAATAAGGTCAATGACCTGAACCAGTGTCTGTCACCATAGTAATTAGTGTTGGGTTACATCATGTTGCAATTTTATAGTAGGAGGGATTTAGACTCCTGTCACCATATATACCTGTTAAAGTGTATGAATATGTTTGAGTAGCCCATATGTGAAGGTAAACCTTGTCCTTCTCCTTACATGTAATTCTCTACCTGCTACAAATTTTGTACAATCATGTACTTTGTAATTTTGTACTTTCTTTTGTGCCACATGATAATTCAACCATGCCTTATGATAACATTTTTATTCTCCAGCATGGGAACTACAGCCGGACTGTTGTGCTTAGGATGCTGAAAGAGAAATACAGAGCCTTAGTAAGTGCTTATGATATCAAACTCCTTTCAGATGACCAATAGTCAGCAAACACTTGACTTGCAGTACTGGCCTTACCTGCTAGGAGGTGTGCTTGTATTGCTGGTGATTGACTGGGATTGACTGAGAGTAGGCAATGCATGACTTAATGTAAATTTTTGCCTCATTAACAATTGTGGAACAAATTATATGTAATGAATCTTATATTCACATCATATTTCCCTCTATTAAGATTATTTAGAAAGAACATTTGTTATTTACTGTACCAGATCGACAATGCAGTCAAGAAGAGTTTGGAGTTCTGTGAGTCCAGAAAACAACCTCACAATCTCCTGGACGAGGTTACCAGTGCTCTGCAGAGAGAAAGCATCAGTACAGATGGCCAGCAAAATGGTGTGTCACATTCTATCATGTTTATTGCATGATAGTTTATTATTATTGCATTATTTTCAATACCTAATGAGTCATTTAGTGTTATCAATACATTATGTCATACAACATGTAATCAATACATACAGGATGTACTACCCTTATCCACCAGTCACTTAAAAGAGAAAAGATGTTGTTTTAAAACATGGTTGAGCATGTGAACAGAAAATTCACAGAGAATGGAGTGTTTTTCTGCCATCTGTGCTAGGTGATGGGAAGAGGACGACATATACAGGTCCAGAGCTGGAGTACATCTACTTCATCCACTCCCTGTGCATGCTGGGAAGGATGCTGCTGTACTCCAATGGCCGCGCCTTCTTCCCAATTAAGGTCAAGGACAGAGAAGGTCAGTGTCTCATCTTGGTGTTATTGTGTTTACCGAAGGAATTGTTTTTGCTCTTTTGCTCCTCCACTTCCTCCTCTTCTTCTCCAAACCAAAAGGTCAATGACCTGAACCAGGCTTTCTGTTACCATGGTAACTAGTGTTTGGTTACATCGATGTTGCAATTTTATAGCAGGAAATGTTACCTTTCTAGTATTGGTGTTATTTTCATACATTTCCTATCAAAGAAATTTTATTTTTGAGCAAAAGCCACCAAGTCAGTGGCTGGAAGCACAGGTGCGGCATGCCTATCTGAAAAACTGTTGAGTTCAAGAAATTTAATTCAATTGACATATCTATGCTCACAGCTAAGTGCCTCATTTGTAAAAGTTTGCCATGTATATCCTCCTCCAGTGAAAGTGACAGACCTGCTGGTGTCCTTCGTGCAGCTGTTGTCACTCCCCAACCAAAGTACCAGACCATACACAGGTGACAACAACAATATGTTATATCTGATTCGCGAGATTTCATGCATCCCACACTATAGATTTACACAAAATGTAGTTTTACACATGAACAGAAAATATGCAGATTATGTCTTTAAGTACTTGATGGTTCACAACTTCACATGCCTCATACATTTGAAGTTTATAAGTTTATATATTTTAACATAAAACAAAAAGATTTAATGTTTTCAAGCTGGAGTTCTGATGTTATGTGTGATACTTGCTAGGTTTGGATGCTGCCTCTCTGGTAGCAGATGTTCTAAAGATGATAGCAGGCTGTGAGGCTGCTCTGGTGGAGTGTCTGTGTAAGGATGCAGTGGTCAGTGTGCTTCTGGAGCCGGTCAAGGCCAGGCTGAAACCCACCAAGGTCAGCTACTTTTGTTACAGGCGCTCTCACTGTCTCAGGCTTGGTGCTTAAACTGTTGCTTGACCATCAAAGATTTAAACATTGAGTACTGTAAATTGTGAAATATTCACTGTGGTTTTTGTGACTGCTCACTGCAAATGTGTCACACTGGTAGCATGTGCTTTCTGCTTATACTGTACAACTGTAGTGTCTCATCCTTTCCCCTCCAATTGCAAAATCAAGAAACTGTGAAGATTCACACTAAACCAGTACTAAAATTTGAACATTTCAACAAGGCAATATCCAGAGTTCTGTCTCGTAAAGTTACAATTCATGTAATATACGATGATTCACGTTAGGAAGAAACCTTAGATCCCATGAAATATAATCTTATGATGTCCATTATCCTAGTTATCCGGTAAGAATTCTAAGAAGGGTTTCCTTGTTCTGTTTGATCCTGATAATACCCACTGCTGTCCCCATGCAGGGTAAGAAGGCAGCTGGTGAGACCACTCTCCTGCACATCGCTGACATCCTGTCCTGTCTGGCCTCCTCACAGACAGGCAGGAGGATGTTACTGTACGGAGAGGCTGGCAACAAGGCAGGCAGGCCCAACAAGAACATGTAGGTGGACCAGTGACATACATGTATATAGTGCTGTGTACCTACATGTACATGTAAACCCACATTCAGGTCCTGGTCTGGATTCAAGTCCAGAGGTTTAGGTTCAGATCCGGCCCTGAATCAAGGGCATGAAAATATTATACAAAATACATGTACAAAAGGAGCATTTTCCAATTGGAAAATGGGCATCTTTAATGCAAAATATTTTAGTGTGCACTGCACTACCAGGATTTAAAAGTAAGATATGTTGTTTGGGCAGCACGTCTGGGCAAAACTGTGGCCACAATTTATAGAGGCAGACACTTGACGATGCCCAGTAGCAATGTATTTCATTTTTTATTGCAAATTTTTGATCTATTGAAGATGGCATGATTTTTTTTTACACCATTATGAATCTGTATAACCAAGAAAGGTTTTGTTTTACCTTTATTAGTATTAGAGTAGCAGAATTGGTATTTGAATTACTGTAGCATTAGGTATACAGATATATATTTTTCAATATCCTCCAGTATGATCCTAGAAAAGTCTAACATTTGCAATGTTCTCCTGTGTTTAGCAGCTCCACTGCTGCCCACACCATAGTGGAGTTTGCCACGCGTGCCCTGAGCTCCACCCTGCCCTCGGAAGAGTCATCTCCGTCCTATGAGGTGGTGGGTGCGTACGTGTTCGTGTGCAGGCAGCTGTACAGCACCTGTGAGGGTCTCTCTGTCATGCACAGCTACAAACTACACACCTGTATAGCTGAAGCATGGAGAATGGTAAGCATTCAATGTGTATTCAGTAATTGTAAATTCAAAAAATATTTGTATAATTATCCCCTTGACTCTCGAGATGCCTATCATGCCTCAAGTAACTTGTTCAAGGATCGAACATGTTTGAAATTCTGCAGTATGTATATGCAGTATCACTATTCTCTGCCAGGTGGCATGTAAGATCATGATGTCAGAATCATGATGTTGTGGAACTGAATGGACAATGCCTCAAATTGGCATAAAAAGTGTATATCCCCCAAAGTTTTCCTTGAACACAATTAGATGACTAACATAATAGCTGTTTTATGCTCTGGCTTGTATTGTATTGTAGATAAAAACTTCCTTCCTGTACCATTGTTTCCCTCAGGCCAGTCATGAGGCAGACATTGCCACCACCCCGCTGCCTGCAGTAGAGGGGGACCAGACAGACTCCAGACGTGTGCTGCTGTGGGAGGAGAGCCTCATAGATAACCTGCTCAACTTTGCTGCTACACCTAAGGTGGGGCTTCCAGCCTACTGACATGTATAGCAATTATTTCCTTGCATCATTTGGCTATGTGCAGAATCTGACCTGGTCAATGACCTGAACCAGACTGTCTGTTATCATGGTAACTGGTGTTGGGTTACATAATGTTGCAATTTAATAGTAGGAGGGATTTAGACTCCTGTCACCATATATGCATATGTGTTTGAGTAAGAATTAACAGAGCAGACCATATGCAAAGGTAAACATTATGCATTTGCTTTGATGCAAATGTTACCTTTCTAGTTGTGTAAATTTTATCAACTTACTACATGTACATGTATGAGCTGGCTTTTAACTACAAAAGTACAATATCAATGGTTTATCATCCGCTGTTTTATGTATAGGGTCTACTGCTGTTACAACAGACTGGAGCCATCAATGAGTGTGTGGATTACATGTATGCTCGCTATGCCAAGAAGCTCCAAGTCAGCAAGCACGAAAAGTTTGGTTATGGGGTCATGGTGACTCAGGTGGCAGCTACAGCACCGGGCATGGTGGCCTTGCAGAGTACAGGTCAGTTCAGGTCATGGAATGGGACATGAGATCATTAGGTTTTTATATGTCATATACATTGTCATGTAGCTTTAATGTCAAAGTTATCTGTATCATGAAACTGTGTGACTGTTTAATATGTCATGTTCAATAACAGGTGAAGCTATTAGACTTTTATGACATGCAACTTTTTGTAATGAATACTGTGTAAGTCACCATAAATAAAATAAAACGGGTCTCCCCAGAAATTCTTAGGGGAGAGGTGCTCCCTAATCAGTTGATGAAAAAATGAGCAAATTTCCAGTTATCTACCCTGTTGCCAATAAGAGCCCATTATGTGCACATGTAGGTTTCATCAAAGCTCTTGTGAATGAGCTGTGGACACAGTTGGAGTGTGGGAAGGATGATGTCAGAGTCATCAGACCTAGCCCTATCCCAGTGGACCCTATCGACAGGACTGCACACAAGGTGGGAGAATCACGGCTAGGTCTGGTCTACAGATACCTGAGCAGGGAATGTTTTTGTTCTGGGAAAGTTACGGATCAGAACCAGTCATTGTTGCCCTGGAGAAGCACGTCAGCGGAACGTACTTCAGCTGCACGAAACCCATAATTGTGCATACCACTTCGACACAACGTCTGATATAAGGTCATATTTGCGCATATAAGGTCAACATCTCGTCTATAGTTTCCAAGTGTTAAGTTGGAAAAAAAGGTTGTCTGCAACAGGCAAAATTCTGATGCAACGTTGACCAAAAATCTGACAAAAACCTCGAGAAATCTGTGCTCCCTGAAGAGGTGACAGACAGTCACCGAAGCATTGGATTTGGTTCTTGAATAAAAAACTGTCTTAACTTAGTATGTTTTCTCAATACTTGCTCTTATTGAGGAGAAAAACACATGGCACTTGATTGGAATTGAATGTATGATCAGTAAGAACACTACTGGTATACCGTGTACTGACTTGACCTGTTCCCTGTGCAGTCCTTCACCAGTCTGCTGAACCTGCTGTCATCCTTCCCTGCCGTGTATGAGGCGCTGGCTGAGCAGAAGCTGCAGAACGCAGAGTCTTACACCTTCAGGGACATGCCCAACGACATGGTGGTCAGTACTTAGTCTTGTCAGTAAATAGGAGACAGATATTATGGCTACAGACATTGAAGACTAAAGGTGGTGTGAGCAGATATACATGTACAGTGTAGTTTTTTTAGAGAGAAGTCCTACAGGAGCTCGTATCCATCACAGGACTACTACAGTACTGCAGTTGGGTTGACATCTGCTAGGAGTTACTGAACAGCAATTGACATCATAGCATTAATGTTCATCTGAGTTGGTAAAATACAGAGAATGAAACTGCTCTCCAACTCAAGAAAATTGACTCACCGGAATTTTACCCACGTGGGTAAAAGTCATGTGTTTACAGCACTTGGGTCATAAAGCAATCAATACCATGTTTCTGACAATTGTTGTATGTGTTACTTTATTTTTCTTGCTGCAAAGATGATATTCAAATGCTGTACCATTGTTTCATCAATAAAGTACTTAATCTGACTGTAATACTGTAATTGTTTCAGGGTTTGATAGAGAGACTGATACTGGTGGACACGCCTGCCAAGATGCACGCCCTCTTCAACTACGAGCAGTCTCACACATTCGGGCTGCGTGTGCTGAGTGTGATGTGCTCCTGTCTGGACACCTTCCTGCTGCTGGAGACTCAGTACAAGGTGCAGGAGTCCCTGCTGGGCTGTCAGGCAGAGAACGTCAAGGAGGAGAGGTCAGGCAGTCTTGCAAAAAAAGTTGCACAGCCCTTGTACATTTCGTAGGCACATAATGCACCATGATCAGAGGAATATAGAGATTTCCTATGTTGCCCACTGCTTGTAATACATTGATTGTTGTTCAACACATAATAAAAACGCTCTAGGTAAGCTTTAGGTAGAAATGTCTATAGATGTGCAATAATAATTATTGCTCTTTATAGAAATGTCTCATACAAAAATGTTACCAGTATTCTTTTTTGGACTTTGACATTAACTTGAAATGAAACGTGTGTCAGCTCCTTTTTTTTTAAAAGAAGCATTATGATAATGGTATTGTTACCTTCTGCACTATACACTGTCGAAGTGAGCACTGCAAGTGTAGCCTTGGTTTACACATGTACCATATATCGTCTTTCAGCAATGAGCTGATCATTGATGCCCTGTCTGTTGAGAGGAACCATGTCCTGGTCAGGACGTACCTCATCGGTGGTCCATCGGAGAGGAAACTGCCCCCCAGGGTGCTGCTTGAGGTACGGATGGGATGATTCAGTGCTGATATGATTCAATATCATCTTTACTGTAGACAATATCATCTTTACTGTAGTATAAATACATGTTTTGAAGAGATTGCTTTATATACAATACTTAATTGATGTAATTTTGATATATATTGTGTATAAAGAGATTAGGTAAAAAAGCTAGCAATTATAACATTTTGACATCTGTGTCGTTCTGTTTAGGATGGGAGGGACCCATACCCCTTCCCCCTGTTCTCTTCTTTCCCCATCCCAAAGTCCTACACTACCACCATGGCAGGGAGATCAGCCATGAAACAAGGTAACTACAGACTCACATTCCAACTTTTCTTTGTAGTTTGTTAAACTACATTGTCAAGCTTCAAAGTATGATGTATAAGACTTAGTAAAACAGTGCAAAAGCAGCTATTACCTTTGTCATTTCATGTATAATTATCCAATGTGCTTGAGTTTTAAAAAATAGGATAGCTTGCACATTATTTTTTGTCCTACTTGTCCACAGACAGTGAACTGAGTAGGTACCTCTCTCAGACCAAGACAGCTGAGAAGAACCAGGCCTGGCTGGACGGATGTCGGAAGGCTTTCTGCAAAGTACTGACCTCCAAACCAGACCTGGCTAAAGCCAATGGTATGTTATTCCTGCATGGGTCTAGATTGAAAAGTTGGATGGGTTAGGAAATTGGAAGCTGCTGGATTTCAGAAACCTGGGACAGAACAGATTGTTTCCATTGATAATGTACATATATGCCTACAGTCATCTAGTAGAATGTATTGAATATTAGAAGCATGTGAATATATGACATGTTTCTGTGTCTGTCATGCATACATGTATATAGCTGTAGTATCAAGTACAGTTTAGTCTGTACAGGATATTATAGGATAACATTGGGTACTAACCAGATGCATATCTCTTGTGTCCTTCTTTGCTTCCATAGAGGATTGGAATGAGTTAACAGGTTTGTACTACAAATACATGTAGTTCTGTCCTTCATGTGTATCCTGTGACACAGCCAGATATATGGTGTACATGTAGAATTGTAGTATAGATTTTCAAACACTGTCAATCATACAGAACAAACTAGTACATATATGTTAAACATCATGACTTCTATACTTGAGACATGGTACATGTATGACCATCTGCAGAGTTTGGCCCATTGAGGCATATAGGTTGGGCTTTACGGACTCATGAAAATGAAAACAGCAGACCTGTAAGTGTGAATGTACATGTAAGTGTAAAACTACACCAACATGGATTCTCTTGTTATCTCCAGTTCTGGTTGACATGTTAGAGAAAGTGGTACAGGGTCAGATCAAGGTGCAAGAGGAGACTATCTTCCCCAAGGTGGACTACAAAGGTAAGGCAGTCACCTGGGATAACAGTTCGCAGGGGTGTGTTGATGGCAAGACCTGGTGTTGCAAGACATTAGCAACAAATTTGTGGGGTCTATCATGTCAAATGTATCATTAGGTACTAACATCAGGTTAGAGCGTTATAAAGGGCTACAGTTTGAAGGTTTAAAATATCACCCTTTTGTTAAGTATTATTGAATTACATACTGTACATGTATGTATTAAGTCTCGCCATTTGCTGATCTTTGATAAGCCCTCTAACTAGTACTAGAGATTTGTAAGCTTCTCAGCCTTGGCTAGTCATTTTGTTCCTTATGCTTGGAGTATTTGCAAGTGTAACTTATGTATAATGTCCTTAGTTTAACTTTGTTAGTTTGCTGCTTCTCTCGTCTCCCATCCAATCTTTAATGGTTGTGAATACCGTGTGCCTTTCAGTCATGGCGAGGGACAGGCGTGATATTCATGGTGGGTTACATGTACATGTATGATACATGGAACGGTTACAGGGTGGTACATGTACTTCACTTAGTCTAGTGTTCACACTGGGCATACTTAACAATGGGCTTTAAGCTTATTAGTATATTAGGGAACAGGCACACAATGGGCAGTTAGGTACTATAGACTTGTTCAGTGCCACAGAGTTCGGGTGGTGGTATGAAAATATATTTTTTTAAATGCATAACCATCTAAAGAAAGCACGTATACAGGAGAAAAGATTTCACCATGTGGAGAAAAGGGAGATTGTTTACCAATGGAATGCTGCGGCAGACCATTGGTGCACCGTTGTTTTAAGGTTGGATTGGTATGTGCAGGTACTTAACCACTGCAGATACATGAAGGTGGCAACACAAGTGTCACCTCACCTTTACATCCAGCTAATCTAGTGTGGTGTTGGGAGCAATTGTGCAAGAAAAAAACACAACATTGTAAATTGGTAGATTAGTTGAGGTAATGCTTGTCTGCCCCACCCCAGGTAGTGACAAGGTGCTGAAGAGCCAGAGTCTGTCAGCTGTACAGCAGCTGGGAGTACAGCTCACCATCAGGTATGTACATTCAAGAACATTCATTACTGGGATGTGTTATTCCCATGGCATTTTGAACATGATAACTCGGTCTCCCTTACATGTACATATGTGGTATAGATTAAGATTTTTTTTGTCAGAGGCTGAGACTGATGCAACACAAGAACAACTCTTTTTCACCCTTTCTGTCATAAATACAGAAGCACTCACACAGCATGTGGACCTTATTTCCGCCTTTTCCTGAACAACCAAAATTATCAGTAACATGTGGTAACAGTGAACTGTCTAGGAGACAGGAAGTGTCCTCTCACCTTTCTTTTCATTGAATCACTCTCTTCCCCACAAAGTAAAGGAAAAGACATTGTACCAGCTGAACTTTTTTAAACAAAAGTAAGAAAGACCAGCCGACGTAATTATTACAGCAAATCTTACTAGAATATCCTATATACATGTCACACACACTCTATATCTGTCATGATTAGAAGAAATTGCAGTGATATGTTTAACACATGCCACCTGCTGCAGGTATGGCAGTCACCTGAACCTGGTGAAGAACACAAAGGACACCAAGGAGCAGCTGTCTCACCTGCTGAAACAGGTGCGCTTCTTCCTGCGCCAGCAGCAGAGGAACATCGACTGTCAACTACGTATCCTTCATCAGGAAAACAAAGAAAAGGAGCCAGAGTGTCTGTGTAATTTGTACAATGTAAAAGATGTATTTCAGGCCAGGGCTGTTAGGTAGTCAAAGTACAGATTGAAGTAAAAGTACATGTACATGTACATGTATATTAGGGTTTACAATAACTGTCTTTTAATGGTACACCACGTAATGCTACAGCTACATGTACATGTACATGACATTGTATGTGTTTGGAAGAGAAGAGGCCATTTCTTCTTATTGGGTAGCAATTTTTGTTTTATTAGCAGTACATTTTTTATGCCAGGAATTCTCACTTGTTCTTTCAGTTTTTACTTTGAAGTAGGTCAACATCAGACAAGTGTCAGGCCCCCACAATCTTTGTTGCTGAGAGCAAGAATGCTGTTTTCACCAGTCTAGTTAATACCAATTTGAGTTGCTTCCCTTAACCCAGCACAGGCCTGCTGCAGGGGGAGTATGTCGGCCATGACTGGTTCACCTCCACCCTGTTCCTGATGATGCTGGGGAAGTCTGAGCGCTGCTGGAACTTCCTACTCAAGTTCTCCACACTTCTGTCCTCAGGATACCTGTGGATGCCTCGGCTACACGCCTCCGTCAGTTGTTTTCTGTTTTTGTACAGTACATGTGTAGTTTTTAGATAGCAGGAAAACTTACATTATCACAGGTTCTGTTGGTAGTAATCAATGTCAATTTTGCATGTTGCATCTTTAACTTAATAGGTATCTTTTGTGATCTGTAGATGTCAATTCAATGTTATTCAATGTAAATTGTCACAAAATATGCTTTACTGGACTTTGGATTGCGAGGCTAGCAATGATAGCATACCGTAAGTGTTCATTTTTAGTGTTATTCCAGTTTTGCACTGGGGTAAGTTTGGAATAATCCACTTTTGCGTGGGAGGGAGATGGAGTGAGATATGCTGTATTTGCTCCCAAGCAAATGTCGGCCTTTCTAGTTCAATGTCAATTGTCACAAAATACGCTCTACTGCACTTTGAATTGCAAGGCTAGCAATGATAGCATAAGTGTCCATCTTTTTAGTGTTATTCATGCACCAGTCTTGTCCCCCATGCCAGGCCCACCTGCCCGTACCCCTGACAGTGAGTGGGATCCACCCTGTGTACTACTGCAGTGCCCACTATGTGGAGCTGATCCTCCAGGCTGAGGTGCCAGCTGTGGCCTCTGCCTTCAGGATGTCTGGTTACACACCTTCTCAGGTAGGTACAGCCTTTCTCTCCTCGAATAAATGACCACAAACATGAGTCCAAGATTGTCTTGCCCTGTACATGAAGATGAAAACATCACAAGGTATATCTGGACTTCAAATTTATGGTAGCCACTAGCCAGTCAAAAAAGAAACATGGTGTACCAAGACTATTTCCTGTATCTTCAATGTAGATGTATAGAGCTATCTAATATTTGCTTGTCCAACTGTTTGCATACCTTTGCTCTGATGTGCGAGCGTACATGTACATGTAACCTACATGTACACTTGTAGTAGCCTCTCCAGGTACATGTAACAGTCCCTCAGACTCTCTCCTGCTGATTCTTCATCACACCTGCCTCTGGATCACAGTGCCAGGTGTCTTGTGGCCTGTCTCTTTTTCTTTTCTCCTTTTGTTCTGGTGAGTGGACACCTACAATGGTGTTAAGTATGAAAAAAAGAACAAGGAGTATTTGGTCCCCATAGATCTGCAAACACTGGCTGCGACAGTGCTTCTGGAACTACCTGGACTGGCTGGAGATCTGCCACTACCTGTGCACCTGCATCGTGCTGGGGGTGGACTACCAGGTGTACACCTGCGTGGCCATCCTCCGCCACCTGACACACGACATCCTGCAGCACACGCAGAACCAGGACCTCCAGGTGTTCCTCAAGGTAAGGACATGTGCAGAGATTTTTTTGTTTCGGTGCTTTCATTACACATATACATGCCTAGTATGCAGTTTTTCTGGTCCACTTCTACCAAATCATTGCTTCCTACACTGTGATACATGTCAAGTTGATGGTATTTTATCACACAACTAGTATTTGAAGAGAATGATCCATGATACCACACATGACAACACAGTTTTAGAACATGTGCTGTTCTGTTGTTTAAATATGGCTGATAATAATAGAAGGTTAATGAGGTTTCCAGGGCTAACAATGCTATGTGTAAACACTATACAGTACAGCAACTGTTGTTCTGTATAGTGTCCTACTTTGTGTGATTACAGCAATCACACATTCTGTAATGTAGTTACAATTTTTTATAGTTCCACAAATCTAAATCCATCCCTTTTGGAATGTTTCTCTCCGGTTTGAATTGATACGAAGACTTAGTGTCCCACAGACACCAGATGACGACTACTTATTAGAACCCTGCAGTACAGTTGTTGGTATTGACAAGTAGGCCCTGAAAACCGAATCAGTGTAAGGTGGGTCTTCATTTCCTGTCACTTTGCCAGTCCACACAATCAATACTGCACCAAGATGAGGCGAGGTAAAACTAATTTGGGAGCAACAAAATCAATGGCTTACTTTGTACCTTCATTTTTTAGGATACACCCTAGCAACATGAACTAGACATATGTGATTGTGTTCATAGTACTGCTTAGTACATAATTAAACTTTCATGTACATGTATCTAATGGCTGATTCAGGACACAATGTTTCATAAGTTTGTTTTTTCTGTCACCATGTGGCCCACTGCCAAAGGCTGTTGTTGGTAGAATCTTTGTCCATGTGCAGTGTGTTATATGGATAATGCTAACAGGAGAGTGCACATGAGAACAATATTGCACAAGTCAAGCCACACATTCTGTGTTGCTATATCTGTCATGGTGCCATGTCAGTTATGGAGTGGATAGTGGTCGTTCATAGCCTGATGCAAATCAATGGTGTAGTGTCCTTGCATACCTGTTTATGCTTGGAAGAAGTATTGAGAGATACAGGTTACATCATGTAGCATGACAGCAAGTAGAATAGTAAGAAAAAGTTTGATGCTGCATGTTTGTAATTTGCATACAATATTTTTTTTTAAATTCTAACTTTTTTTTTTCGTTTTTCATTTTCACATACCGGTATTCTTATTGTCTTTAATTTACTGATCCAGAAGTGTTTCTGTTTTCAATGTCAAGATATTTAAAGATTGTGGCTACCCAGAGAAATTAGTGAATGCAGTGCCACCTGGACCTGTGTTTTAGATGGTTCAGACCCATGCAGCAGATCTTCAGCACTGTGGGAAATGATATATTGCCTGCCAAATTTGGCAAGCCAATACGTGGGTCACTGCCAAGGTCAGCCTGTAGGATGGTTCATTATACATGTACATGTAACATGCATCTTCAACTAGAGACTTGCACTTTCCTCATTACAGTGCATGAAACAACAGTCAAGAATGAGCTACATGTATCATACAGTGGTGCTATAGATGGACAGGTAACAATGACATCCTACTAGGCACCTTTCAATAATACTTTTCTCCATTTAGAACATTCATTTTATACCCAGGAACCACCTTCAAAAACAAAACCAGACATAAAATACAACCATTCAAAGTTAATATAACAAAGAAGTATGTGACTGTACAATGTTGATACATGCAGTAAGAATAACAAGTTACTGTAGTTCATTACACTGGTAAGACTTAACCCTGAAGCCCCCAGACACCACAAGTAGATGAAGACTGTTAATGTTATCAACTAGGACTATTCAATGCTACAGCGCTGTATTGGATTGAACTTGACTATGCCCTGCAGGCATTCATGGCTGGAATTTGTATCCGTGCCCAAGAAATTAAAACTGCTACCCTTGGGTGGCACCAAGCCCATGGCAGTGTTCCAAACTTTAACAGTTCTCTGGTAGACTGGCCTGGGGGGCTAATACATAGGCACATACATGTGCAATGGTTTGAAAAACACTATTGTACAAGTATGGAGATGTAACTCATTCATAGGGCATACATTTTTTCATAGGGCAAAGCAGATGCTATTATTTTATGCTTCTTGTGAAACATGTTTGACAACTACAGCTCTTTTATCTGTGTTGGTGTATGCAGTGTATTTTTGGGAGAATATGCAATTATGTTGAATTCAAAGAAATATAAATGATAACAATCATGACCTTTCAAGACCCTTCCTCCCCTGGCACTGAGTAAATATGGCCTGATTTACTAAAATGGGTTTGAAGAGATCTAACTCTGGAGAGAGTTGATACATTTGATAACAACACATTTTAACAATATGTGTTACATTGCCACAGTCAAAATATTTGGGGTCATTGTACTGGTGACACACATGTGTTCATCACATTGCATCAAGGCATTAGTTTGCATCATGTATGTGGCTGTTGCAGTGTAAGTTATGACTTATGACCCTCGAGATCTCTGTAGGATTGTACTATTTGCTGCATGTGGGTTGTATTTCAGCAATCTTATCTAGAATTGGAGACATTCTGTTGTCATCTGCTTAATCTTCACCATTGGCCCTTTAATCATCATCGCTGACCACAGGCTTAACATTCTACATCTCTGAAGAGATTAGAAGATAGGGGAGACATTCTTAAGATATTCCTGCACTGACAGACATCATGTTTAAGTTATCATATGGTTTGGGGCTTATGAAGGCAGCAAGAACTATGTAGCTGGGGAATTCAATGTTATTCAGAAAAATTTTATGAATCATTATTGTTCTGGAATGTGGGAGGGTGGCACTTTCAAAAGGCACCCAATGCGATTTCAGAGCAGCAAAACTAGAAATATTCTGAAGAAGGTAATTTCTATGATATTGACACATACTGCTTCACATTAGCACATTTTAATCAATATTTCATACTTGAGATATTTAATACTGTAGAAACAAGCCCCAAGATGAGTCCTTTATTTTCTGGGTGGTACCCTAAAAATCATCCAAGGACCCTACCCGTAACCATTTTTCGTCAGAATTTTGGGTATTTTTGCCCCATGTGGGTCAACATACATTAGGATAGTGTGGTTTTAACTCAGATAAGTGACTAGAATATTGACTTTGAAAAATCGGGTTTCCAAGCCCTAAAAACTGCATTGGATGTCTTTAAAAATCTTCAACCTGTTATCCTAAACCAATTTTCATGTTGCCAAAATGTTTCTCTAACAGGAAATGAACCTCTTGGCATTCACACATTGGCTTGTCTATTAGGCCATCTATGAGATACTTTGTTGACAATACACTGTGTTTGAATGTAAATAAAGAGGCTAATGGACAAAAGTCCATGTAATAATAGGTTTGCTGAAAAAAACACTTTGAAGGGAGGTTCTATGAATGTTGATGGGACACTTGAGTTTTTGGCAAGGTTTTCAGAAAGATGTGATTGAAAAACTTGGGGTCTTTCCTTCCCACCCAGGGTAGTTAATGGCAAAACCCTAACTGATGATACAGTGAGTTGGCCTAGCAGTCAAGCTATTACCAAGTTGCTACAGTTGTATGCAGTTTGAGTAGACCTATAGACCACCAAGATTTTTCAGAGATGGGAACTGTGCCAACACAATCAGTCAGAGTAGGGTGCACATATTTGTCTGAGAAAATGTACTGAACCCTCTGAATTAATGAGTAACATGATGAGGATTGGAAGGCTAATTCTGTGTTTGTTTTCTCAGGGTTAAACAGGTCAAGACTTACCTGGGTAAACATGGCACTTTGTAGTCTGGTACTTTCTAGGTCACTGCACTGTGAAGAATTCTCATGTCCCTCACTGTGGGGTATGGTAAATCCTTTGGGGCCATTCAAGATGTGAGTTAGCAGATTTGGTATTCAATGAATCTCAACATAGTTACCTGTACATGTACTGAGAGTAGTAAAAATAATTGTAGCCCTTCGGTAGTGGTTATTTTATGCATATGTTGCAGCCATAACACTTGAGGCTGAATTCTTTTTTTCCGTGTCCAAATTAATTTTAACATTGAACCAATCAGACTTATAATAAATCCTGACCAGATGAGCACAATCAGCAAGTTGAGCTTTTAAATCCGTTCTATCTGAGAGAGTTTTGTCAGAAACGTATATTGAGGTTCCATTGCCTTACAAGGTACAGACCTAATGACTACCATGTTTCTATAATAATCTCACTTGCACAAGTAGGGTGCAGTTCCTGTAGTCCTGCAGTTGCCTGGCAGCAAGATTTCCAAATTAAGGTCAATAAATCTCCTATTTCCACCCTTTTCCAAACAGTGTCTAGGTTGGGATTATGTTGTAGACCTTTTTATTTCCTGTGTAACAACTGAACATTTACAAAATGTAATACTTGAGGCAAGCTGAATAACACACACCTTGAATCATGGTAATGCTATTTGTACGTTAGTCACGCTGATTATTGTGTGACTGTGTCCCATAGATCAATTCCTTGAAATCACTTTGTAAAGATTTTTTTTAAATCAAATTGATTTTTACTACCTTTTTCCCGTTATACAGTGTGTACGTATCAGGATTGGGTGTGTTTGTGTAGTAGTATTCATCACATAGGTGGCACGGTTGGGTCATACAGGCTATCTATGATACATGTATTGAGTCATGATGCTGTGCAGTTATTATTAATTTGTATTATGAACAAGTAAGGACAGACATTTTAAAGAAAATGAGATATCAGTCTAACATTTAGTTATAGCAGCATAAAAGACTTCCAGTTTAATTACATTTCATTGAAAAATGTAACATGTGGAGAAGAAAGATGACCAATTCTGGAACATATTCTATATATTCATATGACACTTTCAGGTCATTATTGGGAAGAACATACTGGATTATGAGATTGTCAGGTCATTATGGGGAAGAAAGTACGGGTCAAGCCAGTGGGTCAGACCTGAGCCCAGTTGGAGGTCCTGAAGTTCTGCTGTGCCAGACCTGAGGTGACTGGGGTGTCACTAATTGACTAATGAGACAACTGTTGACAGGTTACAGGTGGCCACTGAACCTCCTGCAGGGGAGGAGGACATAAATGTACTTTACACAAAGTACACAGCAATCCGCAAGTCCGTGGTAGTGCACAGTAAAAAAGTGACGAAGGGGTTCCGATGGTTCATGTTTGAGTTCACATTTCTCATAATCTGCTGCAAAAAGGCATTAACCACTAACATGGCTGGAAAGTGTAAGAAGTGGCGTGTTTTGGGTGAAAATTGATTTCGGGCCCCGAGGCTTACTTCCGGATGTCCTTCCGCCTTGAGTGCGGTGCTTCAGTTTGACCCAGTTATGCCTTCTATGCATTCTGGGGGTGCTGTCTGGGGGTGTTTCTCTTTCCAACAATACAAGTCATTTTGGTGGCTAAATTATGGGTGATGGGTTTAATTTCACGTGGAAATGGCCAATTTTTGGCATCATTTTTCATCAAAAAATCCTTTTTTCCCCTAAAATTTAAGGTTAGAGAAATTGAAATTCTATTGTTCTCATTCTGTTGTGCTAGAGGGATAGAATTATTTCCTGAAAGAGATGGTCGCTGGAGTTGAGGGTGTGCAAAATCGAACTGAGACCCAAAATAAACTGGGGTATGCCCCCTAACCTCATCGGACACTCATGTAGGAACAGGGGAGTTGATTAATCTCAGTCCTGAGAGCAGCATGTAGTATGTTTGACCTGACTCTCAGTAATTATGTCACTGTTGACAGGTTGGAGTTGTTAGATTGTCTTTCTAAACAACAGGGAGGGGCTGAAGTGTACAGCTTTGACAAGTGCACTCACCAGATAGAGTTGTTTTTCTACAGAAGGAACATAAGACTCTGAGGATTAGGGACTCCTGGTCCATGACTTGGTCTGTCCAAGTGTTGAAAGACAGAAGGATAGACAGCTGAGGAGAGGGGTTGAGTGACAGGTCCTGGAGGAATTCATAACAGACCAGAAATGTACTTGTACTTCCAGGGCCTGACAAAACAAGACACTGGAATGTCTTCTACATGTACAGAGGTTCAGTAGAGAAGTAGGGACCAAAATACTACCCCAGAAATCTGCTCTTCCCCTAGGATTTTCCATCCCAGAGGACTCTGAGAGTTTCCACTTGATCACACTCCCAGACAAGATCCTCCTGAATCTTATGTATCCTTCATTTATGTAGTTAAGTACCTGATACATGTAGCTTTTTATAGCCAGTTTTACATAAACAAAGAGATTTGCTTCAATATCATTAGATTTCTTGAATGCACCTGCTACAATTATGGCTGTTTCTGCCCCCCCCCCTGCTAAGATGCTATTATGTATCCTTCATTTATGAAGTTTATCACCTGAGACATGTAGCTTTTTATAGCCAGTTTTACATAAACAAAGCGATTTCCTTCAATATCATTAGATTTCTTGAATGCACCTGCTCCAATGGCGGCTGTTTCTGTCCCCCCAGGAGCAGCCTATCCCAGGGTTCCGTGTAGGAGAACATCTGGAGTTCATGCAGCAGCTGGAGGAGCGGTACAGACAGACTGTCCAGCCGGACATGAGGAACCTTGCGAAACCCTGAGCTCACAGGCTGGACATGAGGAACCTCGCCAAGCCCTGATCTCTCAGGAAACTGTTTAGCCTGGAGTCCAGTCTATCACAATGGGGGCTGCTGGGTTCTCTTTTGGGATGCAGGAGCTCTTCACTGCCCCCAGTAGGTTTTGCACAATGGGAGTTTAATTAGCCCCACCGGATGATGGGGCTAACGAATTCCTAGCGTACAAAACTCCTCTCTCAGGATTGCCCCTACAGGGTGGCCAGTTTAGCTGGGTGAGGGAAATCTATGGCCCCACTCCCACTAGGGTAAAATTGTTTGGATCGAGCCAAATTGATTCACTTTGATCCGACTTCAATCTGACTCGAGCTGGTTTGAAACCAGATCAAAGCAAATCAATTCAGCTCAATCCAGAAAATTTTATCCTTGAGTCCATTAGAGCCCCGGAGACAGCCTGCCCCATGCACGATACATGTAGACTGGACATCAGGCTAGAAACTGTTCAACACAGTAACCAAGAGATGAGAAGAATGCCTTTTAATGTGTGAAATAATTAAGACATAGTTCCTAAGTATGTGTATTTATTGTACAAACATGTACAATGTATATATAATATAGGAATGGAAATTGTAAGTTGATTGTTGTTATCCATATGTATAGTTGAAGATCTTAATTTGTCACCATGTTGTACAGATTCTATTGCTCTTTCAAGAAAATATGATGATAACAATACTTATGATGTTGTGTGAAGATTGTGTAGGAATGTACTAGTACCTGTTACTGGTCAGTCTGTTTGTCAGTATGTGATAGCTCTTGCTTATATTCTTGATAATTGGTAGAAATCCCAACACCAAAGTTGTATCATATAACGTCAATAAAACACGCAACAATATACCATGTATGTTACATTTCCTTTGTTGTAACCTTCTCACACAAATCTTTAACCCACACCAGCGTGACTGTGTGAGTCCACTTTGACCTAGTTCTGTCACCCACTACTAAGGAGGAACAGGCTGTAAAATCTTCCCTACATTATATTCAGAGATCCCATCACTATAACTTACCATAAAACCCAACCCAATTCTCTTTACTGCTAGTTATGAAGCCCTCAAGGTATGATAGCCTTGGAGGATTTTATTACACCTACACTTTTTGTTATTTATGACTCCCCCCCACTTCCCATCCTGCTCTCAGTGAAGTAATGGATCACCCCCAAGGATCTCCCAACACAGATGTGCACTAGAAGAACGTCCTCCCACTCTACCTTAAGTGAAACTAAAGGTCACAAATACTTTGTTGTCTTTTCAGTATGTAACATTTCGATACATAAAGTCATGTTTGGATCAAACGGATATTGCGTTGAGCTTTGACAAACTAATTTCTAAGTAAAACCTATAAATCATAATTCCATCCAGTACAGAGACGGCCACGTAAACCTGACCTTGCTGTTAAATGCTAACCTTTGTGTGGGAAACATCTGCTACAGGCACGTGTTGTTTACTGTGAAACGGAACATTTCATGGGAAAATGCAGCATTGCCCCAGGGTAACAGCAGGACTGCACCGGCAAATACTGCACATAGAGTTACTCAAACGTAATCCTACCCTCCCCGCAGATGTGAAATGGAACAACCCTTCAGTCCTCCTTGGGGGGAAATAAAGTGCACGTGGATGAGATAATAAGGAAATATAACATACCTAATGTTTTTACACTTGTTTGTTACTTTGCATTTTAACTCTGTACTTTATACTATATAGTCAAAGAAAGCAACCTTTGCTATCTTTTTTTTCTTCCCAGTCTGCTTTGGTGTGACGTTTTGGAGATTAAGATGAAATCTCTTTGATTTAAGGCTATGATATTCCTTCACCTATTTAAAGGATTCCAGTGGGAAGTGATAAAACGAATCTGATAAATGATGCATGATTCTTCTTTTTTGTCCCATTTTACTGTCATAGTGGGAGGAAGCTCATGAATATTTTAATGAGTCAGCAATTCTGACATTTCTTTCATCAGCAACAAATGAACACCATCCTAGTACATTTGCAATCTTCCTGGTGTATTACTTACTTGCGCACAAACTTTGATTTTTATTATGTTTACCGAAGGAAAACATATTATATTTGCTCATTTCCTCCTCCTCCTCTTCCTCTTCTCCAAACACCTAAAAATCGTAGATATTTTCGTAATTAGAACCTGGAAGAAAATGAAATTCAGCATGCTGGTAGGTTGGTACGTAAGACACTGAACCTTGGTCATTTTGGCCAACATAGATGTGAAAAAATGACTTTATTTGCAAAAAATGGGTGAAAAAAGTTGCATTTTAAGCCAAAAATCGAACAAAAAGAACGCGTTTGGAACATTCGAACAACCATGGAACAATGGAACAGCGTGTTCGATAACCGCGGTCAATGACCCTAGCGCTACGCACGGAACACCCGAGCTTTCCAAATATGGGCATCCGCCCTTGTATGACACGAGAAGAGATCGGTGGATCAATGTCAGCGGTAAGTTTTCATTTTTCTTCGTAAAATACGGCCATATGAATACCAGTCTCGAGTAGAGAATATTGCATTGGGATTTTGGGTTCAATATCCACAAGTAGGACTGCAGATTTCCACAGAACGCCGGCGACTTTGTGTAATTTTTTGCATGTCACCGCCGGCTCAAATAAAAAAAAAAACACTCATAATTATATAATTTACACTAGCTCCTGACTTGATAGAATCTCGTATGTATAGAGATTTAGGCTTGCTGCCGTTTTGAAAATAAAGTAAACAGAATTGTGTTCATCTGTAACTATTGTCGACTTTGTAATGTGGGTGCGGGGCCGGGGGAGGGGGGCGTTTGTTTACGTTTATATAAACATGGATGTGACATTACATTTTGTCGTTTTGTCAGACAGTTTCAATCTTTTTCGGGATAATACAGTACAGTTCATGGGATAAGCATCAAATCGGGATTCATCGGGATATCCCGGGATTTTTCGGAAACCATGTTGACTAAGATTTTTACAGACAGACGGTGCGGCGCATGTTTGTTTCCAAATTATGCATGATGATAACATTAGCACAAACGGCTAGTGTTTCAAATATTTCTTTTTAACATCGAAAATTTTAGTGGCTTAATAATGTTTAGAACGATAACAAAATAATACAACCTTCTTGGTACTAGAATTTCTGTCTGACCTTGCGATGTGGACGGCCCTAAGTACTGCTTTTGATGTCACCCGACCCGCGCTATCTCAGATATAAAATCTAACACATCCACGTGCCATGTCGCCAGAAGTTCATTTTTCTCCTAGATAGGGGAGGTCGACGCACGGAGCTGCGGAAGGGAGATTAAACATTATACAAAAGAGGGGGGGGGCGAAGCATAATTAAAAAGTTCTTTACGCCTCTTGGCTGTGTTTGCGATCAGCGACGAACAAGAATTGATACATTTCTGTGACTGGGCCACGTTGCCATAGAAACGGCACGCAGCATAGCTATCACCGCGCGGCGCCCAATCACAGCACACAGACGGGGACCCGCCCACTGGCTGGGCGGCAAGATTTCAAACTCAAAGGCTCGATGCTCCGCCCCAGAGACTCCGGCCGCCCTGGCGATTGTAGCGATTTTCCGCCTCAGTCCTGCAAGCGGCATTGTATTTTTCTCATCCCGTTGAGTGACATCGAGAACGAGAATGCTTTTTCCACCGGAAGATTTTTTGCCAGCCGCGTGGAAGTACTTGCTTTCAGGGTAATACGTACGTCAATGGACGTGGTCGGATCGTTGATTGTTGATGCAAGGGTTTATTTATTTTATGTGTACGTGTTTGCATGGGAGGGGTGAGACGCTTGCCGCGGGATTTTGATGTGCAAACGTTCCTAATTTTCGTAATACAGAGACTACTTGACGCAGTCTGCTTATGAGAAGATGAGTAGACCTCAACAAGCCAGTTTAGTACAAGATGTCACAATGAAATACAACTACTACTACAGCCGGTACGCCCCACTTTTATTTGTAAGGTTTATAAACTTAGTCCGAAACTACACCGGAGACGAAGGGGTTAGTTAAAAATTACATTCCTGCTATTTTCTTTACAGTTTTCGTTGAGTTTTTCGTCTGCACAATAGCTTTGTAAAAATAGTAGCAGTTCACCTATTACCGCGTGAGGAACGCGTCATACACAATATACACTCCTGTGCTATCGGTGAA